CACATGTAACGATATATCAAAAGACTTTTTTACTGCTGCAAAATGAAACTTAAATAGGTCTCGACCGCAATGCATGTTTTCTGAAACACTCATTGCAGGTAATAAGATTGTGTAATTAAACCGATAATGAATAGTGCAACAGGACTAATGCACTCAAAATGTTACTTATATTTGAACAGGAAATAAACCAGGCTTAAATGTGTCGCGTTCATTGGCCTGTCTGGGAGCCATTGTTCTTAAAATAAGTGCTTCACTTATTACAATAATAATTCGAAATCGATCAACAACTTCGAAGGCATTTCAATTAGCTTTCGCAACTAGGGCATCCTTCATAACTAAATTGAATTGAGAAATATTATATTTAAGTTTCTAAAATCTCAGCTGTAGATGCCCCATACGGCTTGTTGTTATGCCGGTAACTTTTTGCAGTTGTTATCAGCAGTTTTATGAATGGGATATCAGTTATCAGAGCTCTATACATCCCGGCCATGTGGGTATCACTCGTTAGTAAGGTGATATCGCGTTAACCTGTTCGTGATCGGCGCCACTAGAAACACCGGTGGTTCGTGAACTCGATTATAAGTCGCGTGGCTGTCGAATGCGTACCGGCAATCCTCAAAAATTTATCATCAGTTGGTATCGCGCGACGTTGTAATGTATGTGTTTAGGTGGGCCGCGTCACGAGTGCGCCGCCGCCGCCGCCGCGCGTATCATTCGTGCTACAGACTTCGACGCAAACGTACACCCTACGCGACCACCCTACCGCCCCCGACGAACTCGCGCTCCCGATCAGCTGTTCGCTGTATATTCTATAACACGCCGGCGTCTCTCAACATAGACAAACTTGTTTAACAACACATCGATACACCTATCGCATCATGGTAAGGAACAGTGCGATATTTAGTGACTGTGAATAGTGCATAAATAGTGGATGTGTTCTCATACTAGTGCCTGTTTACTATATCGTGGTATAATCAAAACATAGACGATTTTAATAGCAGAAATATTTACGCTCATTGAAATGATTGTGGTTTAAAGCTGTGACAATACGATAATAATATCGCAGTCTTCGATCGATTGAATTTAAAGCGAAACTTTTCCATTAACAACGATGACGATGTCCATATTCTTGCATTCAATTCTCGCTATACATTCTACTTACATAATATTGATTCCTATCTTCATGCTGTGGTGGTATATCGATTTTAAGAAACGCACGAGGTTCTCGTATGTTGTAGTGTTTATTTGTTTACTGAAGTAAGTGAAGCTCGGTCGTTTTCGTGTGTTTCAGTATTTTTGTGTGAATGCATTCCCGGAGCGTGTAGCGAGTGCGTTTGCGCTGATGCGCCTTGTCAGTGTGTTGTTTGTGTGAGACCCGCTAATTTTAGCGGTACCCGTCCCCCGCAGCCGTCAGCTCGGTTACATAAGCGCGCCACCGAGCCGGCCTTGACTCCCGCGCCGCACTTCTACTCGATTGCCAGCCCGATATGCTGATACTCCAACTTGATTTAATTTAAACGACCGAGATCTATGTATTACAGAATTGATAACTTGCATTGTTGAATCATAACCGGTAGCTGCAATCTACTCATTGTGGATGTGGACCTCCTCCAGCTTCAATAGTCGTTGCTTGGAATTCTGTTTGTATTTCTCTGTTGATTTAACAAACAAGTGACCACTCTGTTAGTGACTTGCAGTTTAGTACACATTGTTCGCAGCCGGCTCAGAAAACATGGAACTATGGTAATTGTACGACCCTTCACAGCGTTGTGACTCGATAGAGTGCACTTTATCAATTTATCATTCAAAATTTCCATAGCACGGCTTAGAAAGTTGTACTGACTTACGATAATATTTTTAATTTGAGATTTTTTATCTTATCTTCCATCAACGTCCGAGTAATCACCAAATATTTATCAATTTTGCGTCTACCATGTCTGGCACGTAAGATTCAGACTTCACTGTCCGCAAATGACTAATTGATCAACAGGAAAATCGAGCTTCCTTTTACAATTGTAACTTATAATTTTCCAGTGTTTTAGGTATATTTAGATGGTATTGTAATGGAGTAACGTATTTAAGACAATAGATATCCAATGAGGCTGATGTGTTAGGCGTCACGAGTCGACCTCGACCGTGGAACATGTAATTGTTGAATTGCGTTGCCCATTGAACGGTATCACGGCCAAGGTCACCGAACAGCTGTTCTCTATTTCTTTGTATCAAAATTTTTCAGTTACGAAACGTTGTTACAGTTATCTCTTTTCTTAATCTTGGTTTATTTTGGTGCATTAAGTAAAGAATTCTTATCTCGTTATCTAATAGATTATGGTTTCTATAAAACATCGTCTTCAAAAAATGGCACTTTCGTTGAGATAGCAATGAATTCTCTTTTACAATCCTATTTATACGACTTTTATTATTAACCAAAATTGCTCCAAAGACCTCCAAGGAGCTTCATTTAATGTTCAATGTAATTTATCGAACGATTCATTAACTTCAATAAAATTGAACAGGTTTTCCGTTCAACTGTAAATTCAACCAAAACATTGTGAGTCTGTGACATTTATTATGATTGTTCAATTGACTTCTAGTTAGTAGAAAGTAAAGCACATTTGGGGTACGTGACATGTTTAGTAAAAAATAAATCAACCCAATAAACTAAAGTAAGAAGAAAATGTTACCCGTTACGTAAGGTTTTACGATAGTCTCCTCGGCATTAAATCTGTCTGCCGTTGTAACGTAGACACATAAAATAGGTGATATTTCGGCGGTGTCTGATTGCCATAAGACGGAGGATCTCAATCTGAAGCCTTCAATCGATAGGCATACCTCGTGGCTCCGGTGCGCGCGCAACATCCCTTCTCGCACTCCTGGTGAATGGCCGGTCTGGAGAAAACAAGGGGCTGATCGGGGGTGCGAGGAGCAAGGTCGTTTGCAAGGCCGCAGTTACTACCATCATTACATCTCTTTTCATCCCAAAACATTTCCACTCCACCCGTCTCACTCACACAAAATTCACTTTCGAAAACATTGCGTAAATGCAAGGACTAAATAAAAACACTCCCCAAGCACTTTCTGTCTAGCCTAACGTTATGTCTGGTTTCAGAGTTTCAGACGCAATTTGATAATGGAACGTGACGTGATTATGCTAGACATAACTGTTTGGTTAGTGGATGAGACGAGATAATGACTAAAAAGTTGCGTAATGAAAAATTTAACAAATCTTAATTTAAGTGTGATAAAATCGCTTCGTCCTTACAAACTAGAAGATTTTTGCTACATACCTGAATCCCTAGATGTGACTACTGCCTACTTAACATTGCCTAGCACTAATTAGTGCTCATTATGTGTACGTATATGTAATTTTCCATCGCAGGCTTTATTTATAGTGTCAATGAAAACTTGAACCGTAACTATTGTCAACAACATTTTATCGCCTAAGTATTTGCGTATCAGTATCAATGTTGATTTTGATATCATTGACGCAAATATGTTCCGCAGGGCCAATCTTTAGGTTATCTGATCGTGGGATGTTCATTAATTAATCCTAATATGTTCTTGTTATCGGTTTAATAAAGACCCATGAAGTATCTGTGCAGAAAAGGTCGCTAAATAGGATTCTCGGGTATATTTCCTCGACCCATTTCGAGCACTTTGTCCCAACCCATAACTTTTCGCAATACGGCTAGACAGTTGGAAGTTAATATAATTTTAGCTTTGCTCTCACTGCCAATAAAAAAGGGAATTTTCTTTTTAAGACTTTAAAAGCAAGACTTTTTACGAACATTATTACTTTTTTTGTGGACGGTTAAGAAGAAAATTTCACGTTCGTAATATAATTTTTGGTGTAACGAAAATAATGTTTGTAGAATTCCTATTATTATTATTATGTAACTTTGAATTATTACAGTTTACAATGTACTTATCGGATTAAAATAATTGGTTTTATCGTAATGAAACCAAAAGAACATAAAAAGCCTTACTGAAAAATATCGAATTAGTTCTGAGATTGAATTAGAGCAACGCACAAAAGTCGTTCTTTAATTGTATCAATTCGTTGTCTATTCGATATTGTTGTTTAGAGACGTAACAGATTATCTATTCTGGATCATCAGTACATACAATGTTTTGGTGGGATCTTGTTATCAGGTATCGCTAGAGCATGGTCATACGGGAGTCAGCTGTGGGACAGTGCGCACGCGTTGATTGATGACTCTCCTCTCAGTTCGTCTGCAGTTTGTTGTGTTATTAAAATATCTTCGTTATTTGTTCCAACGTCTTCAACACACACATGTTAATTGTTCGAACAGTCCTAATTACCTCAGGTATGGATAATAGTGCATTGTTTTTCATGTTTTCTTTTTTACTTTTATTTCATCTGCGTTTCTGTTCTCGTGTCCAGTTAAACTTACTATTATATTAATATCACTCGTAATAGTCCGATTGTGTCTTCTAAAACCATTATTTTCCCAAGCGCTAACAACTTTAGCTGTTACGCTAATGTTAAGTGTATCCTTATGACACTTTCCTTATTTGTGGTTCCGAATAATGTGGCTTGCATAAACTACCATTGGCAGAAACTAGTCTAGACGTAAAACAAATTAGTGTTTATCCATCTGTACCATAATGTGTGACATCGAGCTCACATGTAGTGTAGAGACCTACGTCAACCTTGAATATTGTTGACTGATTACAAGCTATTGTATATCTTACACCGCGACGCCAAGATGTTCTAACTAGTGTACTTGTGTACTTCACTATTCACACTTCCCGCGCCTTTACACGTATTCAAAACCGATTAACATTGGAATGTTTGATTCTCTCTTGACTAATGACCGTGCAGTTTGCTTTATAGTCCATTATACTAAGGCACTTGTATGACGTACATCTCATTTATGTTCATACGTGTTGACTGTAGACCATGTCACTTTATACCCACTGTGGCCGTCGTGGCCTGTGGGGCCAACATTGTGTTATCATGATCCTTGTTTTCACAGTGGCATCGAGTGCAAAGATGACGTGTTCGCCGCACACCAAGTGCAGTACGCGGACTTGAAGCCCTTGCTGGCCCCAGCGGCGCCTGTACCCGCACCAGTGTCTGCTTTGAACCCATCTGAGCACACACCAAACGGCGCAATAGTCGCCATCATAAATCCGGAGGAGAAACGTCCTATACCTGTCACAGAGCTCATATTCGCTCCGCGAAAGAAAGAAATGAACAAAGGCTATCTCATGTTCTCCCAAGACGAGGGACTTACAAGTGAGTGGCATAAGAACTTCCAAAGCTTAGGTATCCGTTGTTGCTATATTAGATTCCTGTTATGTAACAGGAGTGCTTTACCATACATTTGCTGTTGATATGATAATAACATTAGTGTTGTTTACAGTGCTTAAAGACGAGCCGGAAGATCTGACACACTTGGCACCCACTGCTGGCGATGCTTGTATACCTCTAGAGAATAGTCCCTTCGACATGTTTGACGAATTCATTTTGAACGATAATTACTGCAGCCTACTGGGAGATGATTTGGCTAACGCGTCGCCGGTAGACTCTTTAACGCCAGATTCATTATTGTTGTCTTCTCCCGAGCCACAGGTAGGTCAACATTTCATCAAGAATTTTATTGTTATTTGCTACTTTTTACTTTCGTTGGTTTCTTATGATATGAACGTTTTCAGGAAAACGATTCGTCATGCGAACAGTCTTCGTTATTAACAGAGCTGTCACTCGATGCATTTGACAGCAACAGATCAGATAATGACATTGATGATGGACACTCTCCCTTCATCCCGGCTAGCGATGAGCTCCCGGTCTTGGAACCTGCAGTGATGTGGGGTGCCTTGCCCGACAACGTAAGCATGGCAAGACCACAACCCACAGAGATGCAAACCACCTCCCCCGCCCCAGCACTGCAACGCCTATTAACGACCACCACAACGGGACCACCACCACAAGATCTCATAACCAATATTTACTCTGACCAAGGTATGGTATAAGACATCAGAAGTAACGAATTATATTGGTTACTAGGTTTCTGTGATGTTTATAATATTGGAATTACCTTTAACAGGACTACTGCCAATCAGGAGTGTGACGTCATGGGATACGGGTGTCAAGAGAGTAATGAAGCAAGAACAGGAGCCGTGCGCAAAGCGTGTAAAGCGCAGCCCATCACCAGTCCAGTCGACGACGCCGGCACAGTCGTCCAGCGTCCTCATGAACCTCCTGGTGAGCGGCTGCGACGTCGATGCTGGTTACATATGCATGGTGCAGTGCCGGCCGCGACAAAAAGCAAAAGCCTGAGGCGATCGCCTCCACGACTCTAAATAAACTGTGATAACGCGCGTCCAGTGTTCAAACTATTTGCCTGTATACCAGTGCTATCTCACAGAACTTTCTGGTCGGTTTAATACGAATTAATGTTAAATACAGTGCCGTCGATACTTGTGATATTACTGTATACATGTACCAGTATCTGACTGAAAGTCGCATTGTAAGTGACGGGAGTCCTACGAGACAATAAGCGTCGGCACGAGCCAGATTAACGTCTGCCGAGGCAGGGCTGTACAACGTGAGACGACCAGTCGAGGGGACTTAGTGCTAGGGCTGGTTAGCTTAGTTAATCTTCCACGGTCTTGCAATCTCGTGCTTGCGCCTCGAGGCGTATCAGAATTAGTTTTAGATAGTTAGGTTTAGTGAACCTACTATTTAGTTTAATGGTGTATATTTGAAGCAATCGTTTGTTGAGTTTTAGTGGTTAAGTTGAACGTGCATATCGTGTTGGTTATGTGAAGTATCGGTATCGTTCCTAGGTTACTTAGTTACCGCGAGAGGCCCGCCGCGCACTCAGTCTTATGTTCGTAGCTGGAACACAGTCAATATTAATAGTTTTAATATTAACCCAGTACTCAGAGGTTATCGCTATTTATTCGTTACTGTAAGTTACGTTTGTCGAGTAATCTTACTTCACATCGATATAGGTTTAGTGATGTTGTAGTATTGTTCTAAAGGTTATGTATTCTGTTGAGAGTTTATTGTAGTGTGTTGTCCCAGGCAGTGTGTGACTATGTCTTAACATTTCACTGCCAAATGATACAAAGTACAAGTTGAACAAAGACTAGAGTTCTATTACAGTTTACGTTCGTCTATGGAACATTTGGATGCCTTTACATTTACAGTGAGCATGTATTTATATGGACGAGTCTTCAGCGACGAACTAAATATAAGCAATTATGAGATACTCGAACTTTTAGATTAATGTAATGCTTGGCAATTGTCATCGCAGTATCTATTTTATCGAAATTGAAAAGACGTAAACATATAAATGAATAATCATTGTTATTTTAATATATTTATAGTGTGTATGGACGAAGTGTAACTAGAGAGTTAATTATTTTTCTGGTGAGATGTAAAATATTGTGAAGTTGACAGAAAATATCAGAAAATAAAAGAGACAAAAAATAGTTCTGGTTATAATGGTGCTCGTTGATTTTTTTATTTCCTTGTATCCTATCCTTGATCAGCTTTAGCCCACTGTGAAACATTGACCCGAAATATAATTTAAAAAACATTCAATCATGATTCAAAATGATAATAATGAAAAGATTGTACCTACATGTAAAAAATGTGAATTTAAATTTAAAATTCACGCCGTACATGACGCAAACCGCAAGATATTCTTTGAGCAAACAGTATGGAAAAAGCAATCGTATTATTTAAATTATTCCTACAACAGAAAAATGCAAACAAATGTTATTTGCAGGCTTTTTCCAAGTATTCTGACCACGTGGAACGGTTTTAACGAAAATTTTATACCGAATAATAATTTTATGTTTATATAGGAGTAATTCAGTAACTAACTTGTCCCTAATAGTTTTGATATTACGAGTATAAAACTGGAAATTAAACAAATATTACTTAGTTTATAAGGTCTATTCTAAAAACTATCAAAACTAAAATAAATTTTCAAAATGTTTATCTTGTAGAGAAACACACGAACATAATAAATACTTGAAAGGTTTTTTGAGATCCAAAGTTAAGTGAAGGATTTGTGATAATCTCCCTTCAGTATCGTCTCTAATTCTCTTATCTTAAAGTACTGAAAGACAAGGAATAAGGGTTAATTGAAAATGTGTTTTGAAACTGTTCTTAAGCTTGATTTATTCGGATGGGGCCCAATAGGGCTGATGCCGATACGTATCCGCGGTGGACTTAACGGGTTGCCGGGGCTCCGGCTCGAAGGGCAGGAGTAGGAACGGGGTGGTTTTTAGTCAGTAAGAGTCTGACACTTCGTCCCGCCTCACCCAAGCGGGGAGAAGTCATTCGATGATTTACCCCTCTTAAAGAAAAAGCTTGATTTATTAAGTCATGTTATTACGAAGAGGTCTTATCATAGGTAATTAGGTGCTATAAAAAAAGGAATTTAAAACCTTCTTTCTATTTTTTCTAGTGGCATAGGGTCTAAAATTATATCCAGTTTATGGCAACTATTGGCCTAAATGCATTACATAACAATAAGCCTAATCACCCCACTTGAAAATCTTATAGTAGCTTTTAAAATGGATATTTCACATCATAAAGGACACCCCTACATAACCCTTACGGAACTAATGGCTGTTTTCACCAATCATCCCTAAACCAACTCTTAACTAAGAAATACCTAGCGTGAGGGAGGTCATAAAGTAACCCCTTTTGTACTGTATAAGTTAGTGAAAACAAAACCGTCGCTAATTGTCTAACCTATCCTTGCTAAGGAGTTTCTTATTTAATAGAGTTTGGGGATACTGGGAATTTAAAAGACAATCTTATGTTACAAATAATCTATTTTTCTCACTTTACATTTACGAGAAATATACAAATTCCTCTTCAAAAATCTACAATAGCAATTTTGTAACGCGATAGATAACAAATGAATATTATCTGCGTAAATTAACATTTTAAAAAGAAAACTACGCACGCCTATTTGTGTGACTAAATGTGGAAAACACGAGGTTATCGCGTATTCAGCCTGTTGTAACCGAATGGTTACTTTGAATGTAATTATTGTAATTAGGGATAGAACATCTAACTGTGAATACATGAACATATTCCAACTAGCCTCTGCTAGCGGCTTGGTCGGCGTTTCCGCGCATAAAAAAGTAGCCTATGTGATCTTCCAGACCAAAATGTACCTCTGTTCCAAATCATTCAGCCGTTTTGTCGTGAAATATACAAACTTTCATATTCATAATACACATAAGATCAAGCCTTTTATCCCTGAAGAGGTAGGCAGAGGTGCACATTACGGCACTTAATGCCACTACACAATGTAACACCCACTCATAATATAAATAGTGAAAACACTATTTACCTCTATATTATGAGTCCCATGTAATAGGGGTGAGCCTATTGCTATATACCGGGCACAATTCCAGACTCCGTGCTACTACTGAGATTTAAAAAAAACCCTTGCCCGGCAGTCGCACTTGCAACCACTTTGCCAACGTGGCAGTCAGTAACATTTATAATACTAGTTCCAATATACATGGCACAATAGAACTTGTAGAATCCGTGATACATTGTTCTAACTCCCTCTCTCTTCTAAAGTTAATAATTTTCATCCGACTATAAATCACTGCCTAAACCATAGTTGCCCAAATATCACACCAGCAGAATTATTAATACAGCCTCATTCCCTCCAGACTTTAGGGAATTTAATACGAAATACGTATAACTTTCACTAAAATTGTTACGAAAACTTTTTAGCGTTGAGACGGAATTGTTTGTGGAAGTCTAAAGGGCAATAAGTAAAAGAAAAATCCCTTCTAAGCTCGCCCTTCGAGCATTATGGCCGTCCGGAGATAGGGTGGAACTATAAAACGGCTTGACTTGAGCCCTTGTCTCGATATATTTCTTTTCTCCAATTCTCTTTGAAACTTTCCTAAGAGGACTTTGGACAACAGCGTCATAGATTAATTCTATGATAAGGCGTTCCTTTAGGCCTGCAATCTGCATGCTAGTTACGTTATGATCAAAGTTGAGTGCAGATAACTAGATATTACGATTTACGACTGTTACGACCTATGCTGTTGTCATATGTCTACAAATTATAGTGTAGTAAGAAATTATTTAATATTGATCCCTTGTAAAGAGATCGGTAGATAGTAAGATCGGTTCAAAAGATATTTGGTACGACAATGTTCCGGATACCGCAATTACTGTTACGGAGAATGAATCTCGTATCTTCTTGTCTTGATTGAAATTAATGATTCTACTTGGCTCATTCGTTTTAACTAATTTCAAGGACTTCTAAAATGCATTTTTGTTTATATGGCAATAGAAGGTGCTAGAAATGTTTGGGAAGTGAAAAACTTCGTTTTGGATAGTTGTAGAGAAAGTTCAAGTTATAGTTTTCGTCAATGAAAGAGAACAGAATTAATGACAGTCAATTCATGAGCATACTTCAAGATATTAATGAATGTGGTACCTATATGTATGTAAAAAATTAAGGATCGAAGTACGTATTTAGGATTCCAATGCTTCTGAAATCACTCCTAGAACTTCTATCGCTAGATAGGTTTAGATAATGTAGAAAATACTAAAACAGCATCCGTTGCTACGTCATTTTTACACTCATATAAAAGTATTTGAGTGTAAAAGCTGTGTGAAGTACGCTGTACAATGTTTGGTGCTAAAGTTTGCACTAAAATGTGAAATAAAATCTAATAGAACATTTTTATGATAGTAGTAGATAGTACTATTTCAGTACGAAACGTATACCTAAGTAATAGGCACCTATAACATGCAAACTTTGATATCTTCAAGACATCTAATATATGAGTTAGTAATAAACTGTTAGCTGGCCTAGCTGTTGTAAAAAGTTATAAAATAGGTAGTCTTTTTGGAAATATTAAACCAGAGTGTGAAACAAAAAGAGACAAGTAAGTCGAAGAAAATCAATATTAGTTACGAGTACCTACCTAATGAAATCCTGATAGCAGACATGTTAAAGTAGAGACGACTAGGTAATGTTTTTAGGTTAGAAGGTTTCCTAATATCGTCTTGTAAGCCCGTTTACCTAGAATACCTAAGTAATGAAATGAGAGTAATTACTGAACCCTAAATAGGCATGATTCTTCGTCTCTCTTCGAAAAAAGTTGACATACATTACGAAACATTGTTATAAGATAATTTTAGGGCTAAACCATAGACTGGAATATCGAACTTCGTCCTGCTAATAACAAATTAATTTTGAGTGAATCGGTTGCTTACGGGACGACGTGCTCCATCGTAGACCGCATCATCGCTTACCACCAGGCGAGATAGTGGTCTAACGTCGGCCCATCAAATATAAAAAAAAATAGGAATATCATATCGCCTACCTAGGAATAAAACCCTTGTTCCGTACTTTGTCGTACTGAAGTCTGATCAAGTAGCAATTTATAATGATACGAGAGTTATAAATAAGATACTATATCACAGTATAACAATACACACCGTCAGCCAATCAGAAGCCCGCATTCAACAATAATAAAATCATGTACTACCATTCTATGTCAGTAGGTTATTACTTATTATTTATCGATCAATAGTCGACAGCACTTCGACCGCAATGCACCACAAACTTGTCCACCTCAAATTATATTAAACTACTTTTAAATTAGAGTGACGTGAACTATATGGGGTTTAAACTAGACTGCACGATACAAAAGCAACTAATAGGTAAATTATAGAAGGATAGTTCAACCGTTTAGGTGTCTAAAGCGTGGATCCACGTGAGACATAATATATTTTCTATTGTCTCATATTGGTGCACTCAAGCAGTTAATAATGTGAAGGTATTACTCCAAAACGGCTGAATGGATTTCGATGAAATTTGGCACATAGGTACAGTGTCATTCTGTGGCTAGTCAAATATATGGTTCCGTGCAGTATTTCAACAAATAATGGGGACTGTCTGTTCTTCAATAATTGAGTGAACAATAGGATAGATGCGAACGTTACATTAGAGTCATAATCTAGACCTCGTTCATTATTTAGATCTGTGTCATTTGAAACCTTTCAATTTATTTTTATAGTGCCTAAAATTTAATCCGTCAATTATTCACGACAAGAGACAGACACTGGCTCAATTCTACGATCATAAATTATAATGCCCAGTCTACTAGATCTCTAGGTCTGCCTCCTAACCGAGTCACGTGGTCAGAAAATAAATTACTCGACTTGTTTACTGTAGTAATGTTTGCACAACAATGTACGTTTGTCCAAATCTCGGTCTCAGCTCCAACATTATGTAAATTCGTACCAACTAAAGCATTCGTTAAGGCTGAGATGTTTCACTGTCAAGGTTAAAGCTGGTATTTTGTCCTTTTCTTACAAAATCACGAGCACCTTTTTGCAATGAACCATTTTTTGTTTCTTTTCAGCATTTTCCAGCAAACAGTTATTTGAACGCTCGTTAATTATCACAGTTTATTAATTTGGATATATTTCCATATTTTAATATATTCCTTTGTATATTTCCAGGACATGCAGCAGCAGCAGCAACGCCTACAACAGACCCCACAAAGGCGCCCCAACTACCAAATGGCTAGGCAACCAATCCCACAGAATAACAACATGAATAACATCCCACTCCCCGTAATAAACCTATTACAAGACATGCAACATAAGCAGATGATGCGCAACAACTCTCCAATCATCAGCTCGGTTATCCGGTCAAATATTAGCAGCCCCATGTCCCCACTGAGTCTTAATGTAAGCCCCATGTATTCCCTGCCATCTAGCCCCAATAGCTACACGCATAGCCCGGCAATGAGCCCAGCTCAGAGGGAGCGCGTGATGAGCCCGTACACTCCCCAGTCCATGTCCCCCGTAGGTAAGTTCCAACAATACAGTCCGGGAAGCAGAATGGTGTCTCCAGTCGGCGTGATGCAGGGCTGTGACCCCTACCTCAACAATAAAATGCAGCCTAGCCCAAGCTTCCCCCTTCAGACACCAGAAATCCTGCTTGACAATAACGTACCCCTGACGACCAATGACTTCTGGAGCGAGACCGACATCATCCAAGGAGCCAGCGACCTCCTCACTGCACTAGACGACGTCAAACTAGTTTAGTCTTTAACAAAATAGGAGGCTCCGGAGTGATTTCTATTTCCCTTGGAACAGTTGTGTATTGATTGAATACTGGAATACATAGTTGACATTTTAGAATTCAGTTTTTCACACAAACATTCCAATAGAAATTGTTATTTGATGTTTATTCTTTATGAAATCACTCGTATGTATGCAGGGTCAAAGGGTGAGATACAATATAAGCCAAAGGGATTCCATGCGATATTTCATTGTACCGACACTCGCCTTGCAAAACGTTTTCATACATAATTCAGACTAGAAAATGTATTTTTATTCTGTATGCGTGGAATCCTGGGTACGCAACGATGTGACTTAGATTAACAGATTATTATATATTGTGTACGTCATTTTAATGAATTATATGTATTTTGTATGTCTAAAGATATTTGCTGAACGTGTGTTTAGCTGTATCATAGTTTACATAATTAGTTCTATATACATAATTATGTTATGTAGCGTAAAAAACGAGGCAGAATTAAACAACATGTGATGTGTGTGTCAATCATATTTAAAAAGGAATTGTTATGAATTTTGATATACATAATGTAACAAAATTTTATTAGAAATATGTTTAAATTTAATTTTCACATACATTGCGTAGTTTATTTCTGTCTTGTTTAATTTCGCACATTTAGAAATAAATAAGTACTATTATGTATCAATAAAAGAAAATTGGATTACGGTATTCGATATAGTTTAGTACATACCTACATATATTTTTACAATCGGCAAAGATTTCATTTATAATAAAAATCATTTGAACATTTCTCAAAGATTATATAAAAAATAGCGTTAAGCGAAGTCTATGTAAGACTTTTAATTTATATTTTATGATCAAACCGTATACTCATTTAGGTTTAAGAAATCATAATCTTGTTTTTCTCCATTCAACAGATGTTATATTTATTTATTCGCTATCCACTGCCTTGTGTCCTATATTTGGGACACGTCTTTACTGACGATGATTTTCGAACCGTGCCTTAAGGTCCACTCGAATAATTTTATGTGTTTATGACAATTGAAATAAAAACAGTCATCCTCGTTCTATTTTTTATCCGCAAACTGTTTTACAATATTAATTTTGAACTAGAAGATTAAAATTAATAGTTTTGTTAAGACTATTTTGTAGGGAGAAAATAGAACTAGGTTGAATTCTTTTAGACAAGTTATTACCTGGTTATTTGCCTATATTGTTAGGTAGACAAGTCTTAAAAACGTTTCTAGCTATAGTAATGTTTGCATTAAATGCCGTACATATTAAGTACAATCAGTAAACATGCTATCATTAAATGAATTAATGCAATTATTTTTTTTCTTATAATTTTAAATCTCGATAGATTATTTACACAAATATTTAGCTATAAAAATTTAATTTAAGACGGGATTGTTATAGATCGATAATTGATCAATTTGATTTATAAAAAGAAATAAAGTTTTCTAAAAATAAAGTATATAGCAATAGTGTGTAAGTCATGTTTTTGAAATTGTTAACCCAATATTACCATTTTTGAAAGCGAGTTTGTTGCAGTAATTATAACTTTAATTTTAATTTTAAGTGTACTCTGATATAAGTGACTACTGCCAATTTTCATTGTTTTTTTTTCACATTTCTATTGTGTTGTTTCTGTATAAAAATATATTATCTTCTTTCCATAAATGTGCCATAGGATTTGTAAAATGTTTACATGTCCTTTAGCGGTTTTTTCACAAATGTATACGTCCCAAATCATCTCGTAAATTCACACCAATTATTATTAAAATAAAAATTAAATTGTAAATAATATAAATCAAATTGTTTTATATATTTAGAGAATAAATTTCTGTCATTGCACATGCTTGTTTTAATTCTTATCTCAGGGAAAATTGATGCAAATTCCTGCAATGCATGCTGTTTGTTTGGTACACACGGCTACACATCGAGCTTTACATAACCAGTATAAACTGAACGTTCAATGTGCGGAAAGATGATACGACGCGACACCAGGATAAACTGGTTTTGTATAGATTGATATGTGGCCGTGTATACCTGACCTAACTTGAGGAAAACTGATGACTGTAGGTTAGTAGTAGACAACAAAGATATTATTATAATAACCACATCATTAATTAATTCATTAGGTATAAATGTTGCTGCACCGTTGGTGCGGTGGATGGGCAACTGGCTGCCGCCCAACGTTTCGCGGGTTCGATTCCTGCACGGACCAAATCTTTGTGTCATCTACATATTGTTGTTTCAAGTCTGGGTGTCTTTGGTAAAAAATTATATGTTGTAATTTGCGGCGAGCCCTAGAAGCCCTTACGGTTCGCTAGGCACTTACCCTATCTAAAACCAAAAACTAAATTAATTAAATGGACAAAGTTCCACTGCGTCATGAGAATAATAAAATAGGAGGAATTGGATATAATATATATAGAGCATTCCATAATGCATAGAGCCATTCAATGAATCTACTACCTTCAACTAAAACAAAGCTACAAATCCTTAGCTCAAAAGAGAAACTTCATAAGTAGCGACATCTATTTAATCATACCAACATTAGTAAAAGTGCGTTGTCTATAGTACGTGTCTCAAATCATAGATAGCGCTCACGCCGTTCTCCAGTGTGAGTCGTTTCTGATAAAAGGAATATTATTTGAAATTAAAATTTTAGTTTGATGTCATAATAAAATTAATATTAGCTCCTTTATTAAAATTATAACAGATGCGTAAATCCCGTAAAACGTACGTGTAACGTATTGGTATTCGTTATTTTTAATCTGTATTAGAAATTACAAAAACAAAATGACAGTAAACGTCATTTATAATTCATTGCCCAAGTCGGTCGAATTGAATAAAGTTATTTTTGTGCGCGTTTTGAATTATTCAGCGTAAATGGAAAATATTAGTGTCCTGAATTTAGGAAGTAGGAGTTGAAGTGCGGTTGTTGTGTTTGTTTCGTAACTGTGTTCGAGTGTTAAATAGTGACATTAATGGCTACTACACCAAAACAAGTGAACGGCAAACCGTCGAATAATAACGGCTCCCTGGGAAAGCGGAAGAAATCTCGTGGGAGCAGAGGCTCGTACCTGTCGAAATGGTTAGATAAGACAATGCACCACATACAAGAGTCAACACCTAGCATGGATACGTACGATACTTACGTAAATCCGAACTTGCACTATGCGATGGGTAGTTCTCAGTTTGCTCCCGGCTACGATCCTTACAGACACATGTACGGCTGTGGGCCTGAGCCAATGTCTCTGCCCACACTGCCTTCATACTGCAACCCACCTATGATGCCATTCTATGGGCCTGAATATCGGTACGTGCAGAATGTAAACAAAAGCATTCAAGTACAGAGGCCGAGACTGCGGCGCCGCAGTGATAACAAGGCTGAGGAGGTGAACAACGCCTCTCGGCAAGGGACCCCGACCCACTCGCACGCCATGAATTATTTGCAACCAAAGAATTTGACTGACAGCCAGGATTTTGCTAGTTTACCCCCAATAGTGACGTCCGTTGGTGATACAAACTCCAACAGTGAGATTAATATGAATGAGAAGGATGAAGGGAACAATGCTAGGAGGTTCAGTGACCCTTGTGTGAGAGGTCTGCCAGATGTAGCGAGGCCTGCTAATGGTGATGTGGACTCTGGATCAGAAGCCAGTTCTGACATGTCTGGCAGCCAGGTTGGCAGCAGACTCCTCACATGTCTCTTAGACCAAATATCTTCCCTGAAAATGGCAAATGAAAGACTGAGCAAAGACTTAATGGATACCAAAGGTAAGTCTTTGTAAATGGCTATTTGTTTCTGTACATTATTGTTTCATGTAGACTCTTGCAAAAGATTGGAAAAGAATTAGTCTTATTAGGTTTTACACTTAATCTAATAAGATATACCTAATAACTACTAAAAATCAATAGGCACACAGGATACAGACAGATTTCACATATCAAAATACATAGATCTATTTCTGAGTTCTTAAACTACATCTTTACATTCCTAAATCAAATCAGTTTCAGACAACCTTGAACACCTGTATAACATAAAGCTGTACACATATGAGTCAAATCAACCCACAGCATACCATGTACATGCGCTTAAGGCCATCCTTTCAAACCACTACCTACATTTAAATCTCCCACACAAAGTATTTTCAAGGATAAGATTGTGATCACAATGTCTCATATATGAGACTTAATAATGTCATTTACTTAAAACTATGTGTATGATACTCTGAATACTCATCCAACTTATTTTCTACTATCAGCTGTCAGCATTAATTTTTTAACCGACTCCAAAAAAAGGAGGAGGTTCTCAATTCGACCGTATATGTGCTTATTTATGTTTGTTCGCCGATATCTCCGTTATTTATAAACTGATTTTGATAATTCTTCTTTGTTATTGTACCTAGGTACATTTTTCGGGAGTGATCGATTTTCAAGTATAAGTGTTGATAACCCATAAACTGTATGTGTTACCATAATTATTATTCATCCAATACAGTCAATTACAATTAAAATAGAAAGTTTTTTCATTTTTGCTGTTCAAGAAAGAATAAATATTCTCTAAACCTAACTATGTTGTCCAAATGCTAAGATGTCTAATTAGTATGTTTAAAGCCAGTTAAAAGTAAACAAAAACTAATGAAAGCCAATTAACATGTTCTTGTCTAACTTACTATACTTGTGTAGCATAATATTCAGTTTTCAAGTCCATTGTCTTAGTGACCTAGCCTATTCTCAGAGGACAGTATTGAGTAGCATAAGTAAATAGTTGCCTACCAATTATCAAAATAAACATAATCATATTTTATTCTTTTGTGAACTAAAGAAAATGTCTTATCCAAAATAGTGTCCATTAACCATATTCTATCTTAACCCATTGTGTGTCTAAATGTGGATCCATGTGAGACACAATGTACCTATTTTCTATTGTGCCTCATATCGGTGCATTCAAGCGATGAAACTGTGAAACACCAAGCGGTCACCGGTAACCGCAACCTATTGTCCTATAATTGTGTCTATAATGACGGTACTCGACGAGTTAAAGACCTGCAAATTTAAAAATACATGAAGATTTTATATTTACATTAGAAATTGCTCTGCTGTATGATTGGTTACATAAGTCGTGGTGGCCTGAAGGTTTAAGATCTCATGTATGAGAGGGTGGGTCCCAAACCTACCAACAGCAAATACCAATGTGACTTTTTCCGAGTCATATGTACTTCTTACTCAGTAGATTATTTAGATACTACTGACAAATGGTGAAGGAAAACATCGTGAAGCAACCTAAGGTTGTAATTTCTAATTAGAAGTTTACAATTACCAACCTGTATTGAGTAAGTGTGGCATTTAAGGCTCCATGTGAGAAGAGGCCTTTGGTCAGCAGTGGTCACTTTGAGGCTGTTATGTTGTTGTTGATGATTGGTTCCTACTGTAACAAGTTAGAAACATAGGTATTTGAAAATACTCTGGCAGAAATTATAGCTGTCTTGTTCGTAACTACCTACTAACTAGGTAATTTATTGTTTCTTAGTCTATTCTTGAATGTTGGTTAATACCCTCACAGATTTGAACATTAACTATCAGATATTCCATGAATCTTGTATTAAGTATTTGTTGATGGAGAGAACTGGTTATATAATTTTTGATTAAAAGTTTGAAATTACCACCTCGCACTGAGCAAGCATTATAATTAACCTGGAACATAGATCTCCGTGTGACACAATTTTATATTGTGTAATATTTACTATTGTGTCGCATGTTTTTTTTATGGGACAAGTCGGTAATCTATCAGACAGATCACCTGATGGTAAGCAATCGGTGTCGCCTATGAACATCTGGAACACCAGAGGCGTTACAAGTGCGTTACCGGCCTTTTGGGGGATAAGGAATTTGAGGATTGTTTGGGAAGTTTGGGAAGGGGGGAATTGTGCTTCCGGTAACCTCACTCACACCACGAAACACAAGGCAAGCGTTGTTTCACGTCGGTTTTCTGTGAGGCCATGGTGCCACTCCGGTCGATACGGCCCATTCGTGATAAAACATGGCTCTCCCATTTGAGCACCGGCATATATGTACTTGCACTCAAGAAGTTAATGCTCAAACCTCCATGTAAGAAGCGGCATTTGGTCAGCAGTGGCTACTTATAGGGTTTATATGTGAAATATCATTGACTGCCCACATTATAATTATAATGTTTCTACTACGAGAACTGTTAACATGTGTATGTTTTTACAATAATTACAATTACAATGAACTCATTACTATTCATAAGCGTTTTCCTTTTTTTCCTTTACTGCAATTACCTTACGGCTTGTTTACTCGGATTCTGTGGTATTTGCAACCAAATATAGAGCTTTTCAAGGATAATGGCAAATATGTATTAAATATCTCATCATGCACTAATGTTATGGAATTAACTCGTCGAGTACCGTCATTATAGACAATTATAGAACAATAGGTTGCGGTCACCGGTGACCGCTTGGTGTTTGACAGTTTAATTAGTACCTACATGGATTGTAATTTTTACATTTTCCTCTTGTGTCCTATCTAGATATATTTACATCAAATTTTCCAGTATTATAGCTATGTGGGCTATAGTCATGACTGACAGACATTGACAGCCTTATTGGCCGAGTAGTCGCAAGTGCGATTGCCGTGCAAGGGTCTTGGGTTCCCAGGGTGCTTACTCTTGAAATCAATCACAATCTCAATGCAATTTCAATCCAATAAAGTCTCAATAATTATTTAATGTCAAAACTATACAACCCTTATCGTAGCTGTTAAAATAGCATTGAGAGTACGGAATATAAAGCCGATCTCAATACCATTGACTTCATTCAATATCCATGCAAACGGATGCAATGGGCGCTAGTATTGCAACTCAAGAGTACGAAATTTTATAATATCAATGTCGATCGGTCAGAATTGGATTCAAGAGTAAGCCCCCAGGTCGGGCAAAATATTACTGGGTTTTGTAAAAATTCTCAGTAGTAACACGGAGTCTGAAATTGTGTGCGGTATATGACAATAGGCTCACCCCATATTACATGGGACTCATAACATAAATAGTGAAAAGTGGGTGTTATATTGTACAGTGGCATTAAGGGCCGTAATGTACACCTCTGCCTACCCTTTCAGGGATTTTCATGAAAATAAATAGTAAAAAGTATTTAGCAAATATAAACTATTATATATTATGCGCGATACTACGATACACATATTTAACGAAGACTTATTTACAGTGGAGCTGGAGAATTTGCGTCAACACAACGCCATACTGAAAGGTTCGAGTTCGAGTATGGGTGCTACGCCTAACCATTCACTTAATGATAATGGTAAGTAATCTACTAATCTTTTAAGCTGACTCTAATTAGCAGTATGGATGTAAATAATTACTTCTGTATTCGGTCACACTAAAATAGTAGAATGGATTTCTAAGGCTAAAGGACTCACGGCGCGATTTTCTTCTGCGCCCTCCGCGGTGGCGGAATTTACAGAAGATTCTTGTAAATTCCGCATACACGTTTCATTCTTAGTTTTCAAACCTCAATGCTGAAGTTTTGTTTTTATTTTTCGAATTTGAGTAAATCGTTTATTTCAATAAAAAACTTAAATTACAACTATTGCTTAAATAAAATTAAACCCCAATTGAATTAAATACAGCATCGTGACTCTCATTCGAAATAAAAAATAACAACACTAAATTTTCTACTGTAGCCTAAAATAGTCACAGTATGAGACCTATGAATTTTATTTATGCGTCTAGGCATTAGACACGCTAAGTACACACGATTATGTCTGGGCTCAACCCTAAACACATTTTTTTAGTCACCTTGACAGAATTCTGTAGCCGAATCTAGGTCAGACTCAAAATGTTATTTTTACAATTCCAAGTCAAATGTTTTTACTGACACAGACTTAGGTAATTAGGTCTCTGTAGTTAGTGAAATAGGTACCACGATACAACTAAGGATATTATTATATCATCGTCATCATCGGATCGTGATGTGAATCTGGCAATAGGCTGAGTGACAATGATTAAATATATATCAGTCGTTTTCATCCTCTTGAGGACACAAGTCTACTTAAGAGAACGTCACTCAAAATCAATCTATCCCAATATCAAATTCCATTAGAATACGTGCTGCAGTTACGTAAAAACCGCCAAATATCTATCCAACATTCACGTTTTAAATGTTAAACAGATCAACGACTCTTGCAAATTCATTTGTCCAACTCTATTTGCATATAATGCGAGTGAATGAAAGTCGTAACCACTATATTGAATGCTTATCAACGGGTAATTACTTGATAATTGTACATTCTCCATCTTGTGACGTTTTAACTTAATCTTAATCGTTTTTTGATATAACTTTCTCGACGTTCAAAATAATTTTATCTAGAACAAGATATTTGTCTTTGTTTTCGTTGATTCCACTAGTTGGGATCTTTAAATTCGTCTATCTTTTAGATTTTGAGACAGAATATCGGTAGACTTATCTCACCGTCCTATAGAGGATTAGAAAATGGAGTTTACACAAATTGAAGCTGGAAATGAAAAATTAGAAATACACTACAGTACTTATGTACGTATACTTATTTTCCCGGTACGGAGCCGCGGAAGGCCTAACGAGTTGCCGGGGCTCCGGCTCGAAGTGCAGGAGTAGGACCAGGGTGCTTTTTAGTCAGTCAGAGTCTGACACTCCCTCTCGCCTAAACTAAGGCGGGAGAAGTCATTGGAGGATTTTGGCCCCTCGAAAAAAGGTATATTTTTTCGCCAGAATAAAATTATAGTAGAGTATTGAAAATACTTAAGACATTCTAAAATTACAAATGTTGTTTGTTTTGAGAGTATTTGTCTGGGACTGGAATCAATTAGACTAAAAGACATACAAAATAATACTACAAATTCAAGAAAATATCATTTTCAATTTCGGTAAACGGAAGATTGCCAAAACCTTCCATTTTGTACATGAAGATTATCAGATCACGATAAGGTGATAACATGGATAGATTGCCCCACTTACAGTGTATCGTACACCCGATCCAATAATCTAAATGTTACTTTACGCTGCGCTAGCCACAGATAAAATAATGCACGTCATCGCCGCGACCTTGCCCAGACGCGCTAGGACAGTGCTACATGCCTCATAAATTATGCATAGTCTATGGCAATACAGATTATATCCAAAATTATGCGTACATTTGGGATTTTGTAATCTGCCAGTAACTTGTTTGTTTCTACACAAATTTTATAATAAAACGTTTATAATTTTGATATCAGGTTTTTGGACTAGTCCTGCTTATGCGAATGAGATGTTTCTGTTTTTTTAATGTTTGTAACGCTTTTGCGTTTAAATTGCTGAACAGTTGTTAATAAACTTTGGTGATGTGGTAGCAGAAAGAGTCTTAAAGACATACAAAATAATACTACAAATTCAAGAAAAGATCATTTTCAATTTCGGTAAACGGAAGATTGCCAAAACCTTCCATTTTGTACATGAAGATTATCAGATCATGATAAGGTGATAACTTAAACTGTCAAATACCAAGCGGTCACCGGTGACCGCTTGGTGTTTGACAGTTTAATCTCTACGTACTTGTCACGGAGAACCTAACGGGTTACCGGGGCTCCGGCTCGACGTGCAGGAGAAGGAACGGGGTGGTTTTTAGTCAGTAAGAGTCTGACACTTTTCGACGATTTTCACCCCTTAAAAAAAATCTCTAGGTACTTACTAGTGTTGTGATGTACCGGTTTAGAATTACTTTTGAAGACGATAAAACCGATGAGAGATGATGTTTCAATCAGTCATATTCATATCAACAGCCCGTATAAAGAGTCGACTGCTGGAGTCAAGGCCCTTTTACAAAAGAGTCATACTATATACCTATTTGTGGTTATTTTAGGGTCGTTTTTAAATTACAAACATAGAACTCTCATCTACTTCATTAAACTGAGGTAAAATTATTATTTCAATTAAACAAACAAGTTATTCTGAGTGTATGTTTGTTATTCGTGGACGTTGATAAACTTTGCCCTTTTCACAAATTAAACTTTTGCAGATATCGCATATACATAATGTGTACAATGTTAATCAGAACCGGCTAAGTCACTTCAAAATACGTTAGTTGGTGTTTGTGTGACAAATTGCATTTTTGTTGTGTTTAAAATGGCAATCTCTATAAATATCTATAATTTTTTCAATACTTTGAAATATGCCACGGCACTTATGCGCCTCAATAAAAAACGAACATGTGTGTAGAAACCATACAATTACTGAAACATTGTAATCTAGTCTTGGTTGTATTATAGCTACTTATGTTACACCGACAACGTTTTTCTCTACATTTTTGACGGAATTATGACCAAACTTATATTTGTTTAAAATGTCATCATCATAACATCACGCCTTTTATCCCCGAAGGGGTAGGCAGAGGTGTACAATGTAACACCCACTTTTCACTATTTATGTTATGAGTCCCGTGTAATAGGGGGTGAGCCTATTGCAATATACAGGGCACAGTTCCAGACTTCGTGCTACTACTGAGAATTTAAAAAAAAACCAGTAATACTGTGACCGACCCGGGAAGACCCACTTGCGACCACTCGGCCAACGAGGCAGTCTTGTTTAAAATATTTTTTATCTGAGTATCTTGTTCTTATGAAATTGTAATTATTTGTGTGTTGAGTTATGTGTGTGGAGACAAATGATACGCTCGAGAGTCTAATGCCAACTGTGTTTTATTTCATACCTTAAACGCTAGGTTACATACTGACGCTAAGTTTCTAATATGCTAACGGTGCATATTAATTTATGTCTGTGTGTCCCCAGATTACTCCCCCTCTTTCTTTTTAATATCTTTCCAAAAATTGGGACACACAAAATTATTTCTATACGGTTTGGCGTCTACAGCAATTGTATTTAACCTCAAGTACAATTGAAATTGTCACTCGGCCAAAATATTGAATTGAAAATATTATTATGTTTTGGCATTGTGTTCACTCACATCATGTTAAGATAAAACAATATCTATTAATAGTTTGGATTTCAGAATAAGCAATCTTGTCATTAAACTCTGTTAGACACACCTCTTTTTGAAATGCGAACACAGTAATCAACCAATGATAACCGCATGACATGAGTATATTGTATAAAAATTCGTTACATAAGATATAGGCAGCATTGCCAAGTGTCTGGCACAAATCTAAATAAATATGACTTTTAAATTCAAATTCAAACTCAAATTCTTTTATTACATATCATGTGTGCAATAGGTGTTCCATGGGGTACAGTTTCAACATGAAACCCGGCTAGGGCACGGCAACATAGAGAGCAAAATATAACCTAATTAAATTACTAGTAATATTATCATCACATAAAAATTACATAACCGTTGATTTATTTTTCATTACATGTATTATATTTATGTTCATTGTATGTAGTTTATGTACTTACTATTATAAATTTTTGATAGATATCCAGAAACTATGGGAAGTTAAGGAATCTAAGGCCTATGTTTAGCAGTGGATGTCCTGTGGCTGATATGAGGATGATGATGATGTTGATGATCCAGAATCTAGATTATTACATATTACTTATTATTTTATATGTACTATGTAGCATAGGAAATGTTATTTTCATAAGATCAGAAAACCTAAAGAGAAATATAGCAGAGCTTACACTTAATAATTGCGATTTCTAGACCAGGTATGCTAGGCAGGCTACCTGAAGTATAAATGGTCTACAATTTGCGTATCCAATGAGATTCTGTGACACTGACAGCAAACCAGTATGGCGTTAACTCTCTCCAACGGGTTGGAATTGTATATTTTCTTGTTGGCTAGATATTTGCATCTTATTTGTGTTATTCTTCAGTGTATTGACTAAATACTTCTGGGAATTTGTGACTCCTCTGGTGTTGCGGGTGTCCATGGGCGGCGCTGATCGCGTACCATCAGGTGATCCTTCTGCTCGTGTGCCTCCTTTTGTTGTTGTTGTGTTAACTACTTCTTTTAAATGAGGATATGATTGGAATTGTGTAGGATTTTCTCGTGCGTTATTATGGTGGTCTCCTGTGTCGTGTAGTGTTTCACTTTACACAAACACATCAATTTTGACCCGGAACTCCAATTTAGGGATCACCCTAAGCGTAGTTCCGCGTGGGAAGCCAAACTGGCGACACGGGTTATGCAGCAAACATAATATTAGTGTTATCAATATTTTGGCGATTGTTGACTATCTGACGATTGTTTGAAGATGAAGCAGGGTCGATCATACGTCTCTATTCTGACTGTGATATGATTGGTGTGAATATTCTCATAACAGGTGAGACACTTTGTATCTCACATCGTGAGAATGTTCTTGATGACAACTGACCCACCATATTTTACGTTATACAATTCAGTCAACCAAAATTAATATTTTCTCTCAACATAATGTTTAGTTCACATTCTACCAGGATTTTCTTTCTTTTTAGAATACTTTCGACAATGCAATTGGGATGATGACAGGGTATGAAAATTAGACAGGTTGCGGGTTCGAGTCCCGCACGGAACAACTCTTTGTGTGATCCACACATTGTTGTTCCGGGTCTGGGTGTCATGTGTATGTGAACTTGTATGTTTGTAAACGCACCCACGAGACAGGAGAAAATCCTAGTGTGGGGCAACGTTTTATTAAAAAAAAAATATAAAAATTATCTGTTGATTGAAAAATCGGCCCTAAATACTCCATGTTTCAGTCCCGCTTGTCAATTATAAACATTTTAACACAACATATTAGACTGTCTTTCTGCCTGTCTTTTACTCAAAGAAATACGGCTTAAAACTAAATATATCTTTACAAACAAATATTTGCCCGAAGCTATCAATATTCGTCACAACGCAAGGGTTTGACTGCTATGAATCATTTGGGTGGAACATTATTTGGCATAGTTTTACAGACGTAGCTAAATCGATTTAAATCTTACGGTTTGTGTCTTAAAGTATACAGTGCTGTTAATAAGATTACATGCTTATTCAAAAGTGGTAATGTGCGTAAATAAATAGCTACAAAAACTGTTGTTATGGCTAAAAGTCTATTTCTTTTTAGTCGACTACATTTTTCCGTGGCTCGACCGACGTGAAACAACGCTTGCGTTATGTTATGAGGCCCAATTACCCCCCCTGCCTAGTCCCCGTTTCCCGAATCCCCGAATCCTCCACAATACTCAAATTTTCAATTCCCAAGGCCGGTAACGCACTTGTAACGCCTTGGTGTTTCGAGTGTCCAAGGGGCCGCGCCTATTGCTTGCCATCAGGTGATCCGTCTGCTCGTTTACCGGCTTATGTTATAAAAAGAAACAAAATTCTTTTGCATTATGCTAGAAAATGTGCAGAGCATACCTTTAACAGTTTCGCAATGATATGCCCCAACATTGGCCACATATTAAGCAGAATTTTCTATTAGAGAAGTCCTACTAAAGAAACCAATACCAATGTTGGACGTTGGCCATCAGAATCAACGGTTTCACATGGTTGAATCACTCGTGCTGAATATTAAACGTCAATCAGCGAAGTATTCCAACTGTGTTATGTACATGGAGTATACAGATGAGGAGTGTCTTCTGCCTATGGCAATCAGACCCCCCTTTGAGTACCGTCATTATAGCCACAATTAAAGAACATTAGGTTGCGGTCACCGGTGTCCTCGCGGTGTTTGTTGACAGTTTAAAACAGAAACCATAAAACGACATCCATTCGTTTCAAAAACTATTACTTGTTTATCATTTACAGTTGAAGCAAATTCTTTCTTTTTAAAACTGTCCAGATAACGCGAATGCAAACGAATATTACCTAACTGTTGTGTTGACCCCAAGCAACTTGCGATAATGGCAGGAAGACTACTATTATATAATTGCCTAAACAGTCATAGGGAGCTGTAGGCAAGGCCAAGGACCTAAATTGGACAAACGCCCTAATCCCAATCTATTTACTGCAACATCTCCTATTGACTTGAAAACATTTTAACACGCAGAGCCAATACTCCATTACTCTATAATCCATGGTTCCATTTCTTATTGACTAGTGACGGGACAGCACAGCGATGGAACGCCCATACAACCGTAGTGCGGGGAAATCGCGTGCGTTACGTGACCCAAAGATACCTTGATATTAAAACTCTTTCGCATTTGTGGGAAATAGATTACGCTTGCAATTTAGATTCGCTGCGGTAACTTTTATTGACATTGGATATCTGAGTCGTTTTTGCATGTCCAATGTCTATTTAGGGGTCTTAAAATTGGGTGATTTTGGTATGATAGCTTCTTTGATGTGAATTAACTTATTCATATTATTTTAGAAGCATTTTCTGCTTTTGGAAGATTTTTACTGAACTAAATTAGAATGTCTGTCTACTCGTATTGTATCATCCGAAAAGAAAAATGACTTAAAATAGTAAATATTGACATGAGATCAAAGGAAAATAATGATCCCCAACACATACATGCTCAGTATTCTGCAGCAAATGTGTAACACGGCAATGAATATGGATAACTATTGCGTGTTACCTAAACATTGACGTTACTTACCCCGCCTTTGAGCCAGCAATGTATCACCAAACGTCCTTCACTTTAAAAAAGTAGTGTAATGACGTAAAACCAGGCTATTTTTGTCATTGGGTACTTGAATAAAAAAGCAATTGTTTTGTTACCTACTTGTTGGGGTTTCTTTTGCGTAACTTCAAAGAACTTTGCGCAGACCCTTTGCGTTCTAGCTTCTGACGCATGAAGCATAATAATAGATTTATATTACGTCTTAATGATGAATAGTATGGAGTAAATGAAACTTTATTGCCTATTAATAAGGTTAATTGATCCGTACTGCGGTGAGATACCAAGGACAGTCCTTCTTTTTTTAATGGAATAGGAGGCAAACGAGCAGACGGATCATCTGATGGTAAGCGATTAGCGCCGTCCATAGACACCTATTGTATTGTAAGTGTTGCAAAAGTTGTACTGTTGTAGGCAGATCTGGAAGACCTTGAAGCGACTAAAAAGCGAAGCGAAAAGTATTGTATTGTAAGTACTTACTTACAATACAATACTTTTCTTCTCTTCTATTCTATCGTCCTAAATTTAAGCTTGTTCTTATTTCCAGCGTACCTAGCAGGACAATATGCTCCGGGCTTCCTGACCGACTTGGTGCGGGAGATCAGGGACGCAGCGCGCATGCGCGAGGACGCGCTGTACTCGCGCGTACGAGCCATGGTCGTCGAAAGAAACGATGTAAGTTGGAATTTTAATAATTCTGTAATTTGTATTAGTAGTAATTTTCTATAACCTTTCCTCTTTCCATCCTTGTCCTAAGTAGACGTGAAATGTATTCTTCAATACTCACCCCTCTCCATATCCCGCCAACCTTAGGTAGGTTCATAATATTATTCCAGGACTAGTTTTCATAACGTGATGAAAATACAGTTATTTGAAACTAGCTTCTACCCGCGACTTCGTACGCGCAATCCCATTTTATTCCGTTCCCTTCTAATCTTCTTCTAATAATAACAAATAGGTCTAAGAAAAAAGGGTTAGTGAAATCGGTCCAGCCGTTCACGCGTGATGCTGTGACCAAGGGAAAAAGGGATTAATTTTTATATATATAGTAATTAGTATTATTATTGAAATCTACATAATTATTTTTGTTTAACATCCATCATTGATTTTGGTAAGTGGGTAGGTATGTCGTACAATTTCACAATTCTACTATTTATTTGGAAATGTTGACATTTGCTTGTCTGTTACGCTTTCATGCTTAAACCGAATCGAGTGTGTCTACAAATGTTCATATATATGAACATTTTCAATAATTGGCAAGTAAATATGATGGAATTGGTTCACTATTATGTAGGAACTTTTTTTAGGGCGAAAATCATCCAATGACTTTTCCCGCCCGAGTGAGCTGAGGAGAGAGAGAATGTCAGACTCTTATTGACTAAAAACCACCCCGTTCCTATTCCTGCACCTCAAGCCTGAGCCCCGGCAACCCGTTAAATCCTTCGCGGTTCCGGCATCGGCATCACCCTATTGGAACCCGTCTGTGGTGGTCTGATGGTTCTTTGAGGGGTCTGGTTCAAGTCGGGCGGCGAGTCACCCGTGCTCGTCGTCCGCAGGCCCGGTTATGTAGGGGCTACCAGGTGATCTGCGAAAAGAAACTATAATGATAAGATCAGTAAGGTGTCGCATGCTCATAAGAATCTTGCTCAACCATTTCGTCTTCTCATAAAAACTGTTTAATTAGCATGCAGGCATTCATAAATTCGCGTATTTCCTAATGACCATGAATTGACGACATACGACAATCAAATGACTTTCTTCAATTATTCATTGACGGCGGGTAATCGATACTGTCATTTGATGCTTTGACAATATAAAGAATGGACAATTCAAGGCAAGAAAGGGTGAGCTTCTGACCTTCAGACGTGACCTTGTCTGGTTGGAGCTTTCTAATGTCTGTATAAGGTATTAAAACAAAAAGGTCAACTGGAGTCTCTTTATAGTGTAGCCAGATCAGGTTTCTTCTGCAATAAACGTATTTTTCTCATCGTCGTTAACCTGTCGTCGTCAACCCAGTTTCATCTAAATCATTATTAGCCCTATGTCATATATTTTATTGGTTGCCTCATTGGCCGAGTGGTCGCAAGTGCGACTGCCGGCCGCAGCTGCGTGTCGGGTTCGTTCCCGGGCGGGTAAACTATTACTGGGTTTTAAAAAAAAATTCTCAGTAGTAGCACGGAGTCTGGAATTGTGCCCAGTGTATGGCAATAGGCTCACCCCCTATTACATGGGACTCATAACATAAATAGTGAAAAGTGAGTGTTACATTATACAGTGGCATAATGTGCACCTGCCTACCCCTTCGGGTATAAAAGGCGCGATGTTATGTTGTTATGTCATCTATTTTAGCCCCCAATAGTGTGCCTTTAATGTTTGGAATTTTTCTCGCTTTGTAAGATTCTGGAGAAATCTTACTTGATCGTTATAAAGTTAACAAAATTTTGCTTTAATTGGTAATTGCAACTGTGTTCTACATATATATGAAATAGTTACAAAACAATATTGTCTAAAAGAAGCATGCGATCAAATTTTGACCACTGAACAACAGCCATTTATTATTTTCTTTAACGGTGTTTAAAATAACAAATGGATTGTGAAGAACAGTTTTCAATACTTGTAGTTGTTTGCTATGAAGCACTGAGACCACCATGACCAATATAAAGTTAGATACGGAACCAATTTGTTGGATTATCGAAGCGAAACGCATTTTATTAAGTTCCACTGCATTAGGGAACTTCTTTAACTGTCTCTGCAGAAATTGGATAAGAGGATGCGACTGTGTTTATTTTTATGATTCCCTAAACGATTTGCTTCTTTCTTTCTTAGTATTTTGACTAGAACTTTGATTAGGTGATTGTTAGTGTGGATTTTGCGACCGATCGGTTTTGATCCGAATAAAGATTTGTAAAGTAATGTTAATTTATTCGGTTTAGAAATTCTTTTATAGAAAACTTTTTTATAGGATAAGCCTGTAAACGAGCAGACGTATCACCTGATGGGAAGAAATCAGCGTCGCCCATGAACACCTCAATCCCCAGATGTGTTCAAAGTGCCTTTTAATGATTTGGAATTTGAGGATTGGTGGGGATTTAGGGATTGGGGAGATTGGGCAGGGGGGGAGGAAAATAATTGGGCATCCGGTAACCTCACTCACAACGAAACACGACGTTTCACGTCTGTTTTCTGTGATTTCTGGAAAAGTACGGAAATCAAAGGTAATAAAAACATTGCTCGACCTCTTACTCGAATTAGAAATTTACAGTTCAGCTGCAGTCAATATGCCTAACAAAAGTAATACACGTTACACGCATTAGTTAGATCTCCCAAATAGACCGAATTTGAAAATAATATGTCGGTATGATATCTTGCCAGTACACAAGTCACGAGGCGGTCAAAAAATTTCTCAAAAGACTGCCAAAAATTTGGCGTATGTCGGTCGTTCTGAATACGTGCGAATTAACTGTAAGTACGCTTCTATATAATTATTTTGATTGCACATTTATATTGAATCTGCAGAAAAAGTTTTTGCACATGATCTCTCGCCCATCATTTCTTGGAATAAGTTTGTGATACGATTTGTCCATTTTATCTCTTGTCATCACCAATGACATCCAATCTGATGTTAAATACCCTTTTATCTGTTGAAACACCGGCTCCCGGTATAAAACACATTATACTCGCAACTTTCAACTGACAAGAGGAAACTTGATCCTACATGCCTTAGCAAGCTTTTTATTGCTGACGCTGGCGGAAAAGCAGTAGGTAGACTATAAATAGAGATTTCCACTCAACGGACATCTTGAACATTCACTATCTACCTCTATACAACAATAAACCTTCTCTACAACGCACAATACAAATGCAGACACTATCCAGACTGGACTTGACATTTTCCAAAACATTTTGGCTCCACTCCAAACATGCTCAACGCTCAAATCGTCCATTCTCCATTTTGAAGTCAACGACCTTTAAATCTTACAATAATGGTCATTATGACATTCGAATTTGTGGTAGCCATATTTTATTATATCGATGACTAACATCTGAGTATTCATATTTTTTCGTTAAAGGATGCAAAAATCAATTTGAAAATGCCATAACGCTTCATTTTCGTCGCAAAACACCATTTTTGGTTTTGATTTTGGTGGTTATCATGTGTGACTCCTATATATTATAAACCAACCGGCCACATAGCTAGGAATACCGGTAACCGGCGGATTTTCTTCTTAACATCTTGGCCAGGCCCGGCAGGCACGAGAAAAAGAGGCAGACCGCGCGGTGGACAGGCGACATAATCTAAGTGGCTGGCAAGCATTGGATGAATATCGCCAAGAACGGGGACAAATAGAAAGCACTAGAGGAGGCCCTCACCTTCGGGTAAAGCGAGGGGTTCTTGATAAAAATACCAATAAATGTAAACTAAGGAGCATGTAGAGGAAAAATCTTATTACCTAAAACATTTTTTTTTTCAATTATTTTATAAACTAGTGAGAAAGTCAAAGTCAAGCATTTATTTCAATTAATGCTTTAGACACTTTTTAAGTCGCGGAGAACCTAATGGGTTACGGGAGCTCTGGCTCGACGTGCAGGAGAAGGAACGAGGTCAGTAAGAGTCTGACACTCCCTCCCGCCTCACCGAGGCGGGAGCAGTAATTCGATGATTTTTCCCTCTTAAAAAAATACACTTTTAAAACGTCAAAAATTTAACTGTCCTTCCTTCTGTCTGTCAGTGAAGCTAGGCGCTCGTTCCAAAGTTTAGTTTCGAATGGAGAAGAAAAAAAGTATAAGAGTTTTTTTATTTATTTATTAGATACAGATAAAAAAATATATAAATGTCAGTACAATGTTCTCGGGCCACCACACACTGAATATCTTTAAAATTAGTGAGAATTATTAGAATTAAAAAGCTAAAAATAATGTACCCAACCTATGAATGGAACCTGAGACAGCCACGATTGACGAACAACAAGACAGTCAGACTGAAACACGTAACAAATGAGATTAAAATTGTAACTTCAATGCTATTGACGGGAATCGAATGGAAAATAAATCGGTGGTTCGTCTTTAATCTGTTCTTAACTGATTTGTTGAATGGATTAAGTTTATAAATCGTAGCTTAAATTGGTTTTTAGTAGGTACTTGGTAGTCAACAGGTTGTGTGACAAATGCCATGAACTGTTATATTTTTTAATGCCTGTGTAAAACAAAATAGAAGTTTCGTATCGCATCCTTTATTATATAAGTTTCTAAATAAATAAAGATTAAAAAAATCCTTTAGGTATTATCTCTATTTCGAGAAAAATGCGTTATAGAGAAACGTTCAAAGAACCAAAAACTAAAAACAAACAAAAAGTAAAAACTAAATAAAAAGCAGTATCTATTATTATTACTGATAGGTTATCCACTCACCGATAGGTTAAAAAAGGTCTAATATTCCATCATCAGATCCTGACTTGGAAAAAAGGTTACCCTCTCGGGAGATACCTATCGAACAAAAAAAAACTTCGAAAATCGGACCACAGTTGGCAGTGTAATCGGCAAACAAACAAAAAACCCTTCATCCGAACACAGTACCTTTTCCTTTTATGAAATCGGTAAAAATAGCAGTTCCTGTTATGTTCTCTAAGCCAACTAAATGTTATATAAATTCACTATGATGTAACTTTACCAGTAATTTCGACATATCACAACATCACGCCTTTTATAACATCCTTTTATACCCGAAGGTTTAGACAGAGGACACATTTCGACACTTATTGCCATCCGTACAATATAACACCCACTTTTCACTATTTATGTTATGAGTCCCGTGTAATAGAGGTTGAGCCTATTGACATATACCGGGCACAATTCCATACTCCGAGCTACTACTGGGATTTTTTTAAAAAACCCAGTAATACTTTTGCCGACCCGGGAATCCAATCCGAGACCCCTTGCTCGTCTCAGTCAGTAATTTCGACCCTCCAAATCATTTTCTCAAAATTGCGACCATGTTAAAGGAATCTCTATCCTACTTATCATTACATTCTTAGATAACCAAATAAGGAGTATCTACGTAATAGATATTTACATTCAAGTTATATTCCCGATAACGAGTTATATGTTACTGATAACCTATCAATAGATAAACATAGGCATGTATTTATAACTAAAAATCTTCCCAATAGTAATATCCAAGTGCATATGCTAAATACGAGTCAATATTGTTTAGATTTTAAATTCTCAGGGCCCGTACACAAAACTGCGGTGCAACGCAAAAAATTACGATGGGAATTGCTGCGATGCGATTTCGTGCGGCAAGACGTCTCCCAGGGTGACCATTCCTTCGACGACCGTCAACCGTAATTTAAATTAAAAATTAGGTCGTGTCATGGATCGTGAAAAGAAGCGTGAACTTCTGTTATTGCTAAGGAGATTCAGGGAAAAGAAACAAAGAAGATTTTGGGAAGATAAAATATTAATGCGCGATGCGGATCAATTCGCAAGTTCTTGCGATGCGTAGAGGGAGCTCGCACATTTTTGCGATGCGACGTCGCATGCATCTTGTGTACGAGCCCTTAACACAATATTAAAGACATTTGTCTCCACCTTGCTTATTCCCTGGATATTGAAAGAGATAGAACTATTTTTATAGAGACCAGGTAGCGGTGCTCTCTCGCTCCCTTAGGACGCGGCAATAGGTAGTTGATACTACATCAAAATTAATTATCTTCTACAAGTATAGTTTCGTTTGTATTCTTATATTTCCTCTAACAACACATAAACGACCTCTTCCTATTATTTATCAATTGGGGTAATTGGTACATTCATTTATTTTATTACTAACCGTTACACACGGATGTCGTGTCGTGGTAGCCCGGAGGTTTAAGACGCCCGCTTCTCATATATGTGGGTTCGAAACCTACCAACGACAAGTACCAATGTGACTTTTTCCGAGTTATATGTACTTTCTAAGATTATCTAGATACTACTGACAAGCGTGGTGATTAATGCCTTCTCCATGTGAGAATAGGCTTTGCTCAGCAGTGGGCATTTATAGTGGGCTGTTGATAATGATGACACACGGATTCGCCTCTCGAGATAAAAGTAAAAACGTAGGCTATATTGCTCTCCGACCTCTTAACTGTACCTAGACATTAAAAGCATAATATCATAACATAGCTAACTTCTTCCAGCGGCTTCGTCTGCGTTCTCATAAGGTAAAAAGTAGCGTATGTGTTATCCCAGACCATAAATCCCTGTTTCAAACTTTTCCTTTCAGCCGTTTTATTAGTAACACACAAACACATTCGAATTATAACATTACTAAGATAAAGCCCCGATGCGACGTAAAAGGAAGAAAAACAATTAATTTTGTCTTCATAATATTAGTGAAGCTAAGATACCCAGATTTAAATATTTTACTCCAATTTCATTGTAACTACCTAAATACCTATCGGACATCTTTTCCTGTTTATTTTTGTCTTTATTGTACAAATTCTTGACTTTCTAAACTGACTTTAGTTTTATTGTAATTAATGCTGACTTTTTTTACCTTTTAACTGTACAGGAAAATAATGATTAAATCTTATCTATTTATTTAAACTGTAATAGTCAAAAAATGTGATGGTACATTAAATTTTGACTGAAACGGTGCCACCAATTCGCTTTTAATCGACTTCTTAAACCTAGAAGAAAGAAAATTCAGTTATTCGAGTTCTAAAAGATTCTTAATTTTTAAAGATAAACTAATTAATGTATACCTAGATATTATAATAAAAATCATAATTTTTTTGGGTCAAGCTCGCCATAAGGTACCAAGGTATCCAGGATGTACAGTAGACACCACGAAAACTGAAACACCCAAGTCCATTGCGTCTCGGTGATGTGATGTGTGACCAACGGTCTTAGAGCATACGTATCTGTCAAATCGACTAGGTTTAAAATAAAAAAACTGTACACATACGCTTGTTGTCGACTACTCATAGCATAATATAGTTCATATAGTGTACTGTAAAATTATTAATCTAACAGTATTGTTCATCGATCATTGAATCTGGGTCGCTACTCGCTGCTCGCAAGCCGAGGCAATGCGTGCATGGAATTCAGTCCGTACTTACCTTTACTCAGAATTATTTCCTCATTTGTGTTGATCGGTTTATATTTTTATAGGATTTTTAGACTATAAATATAACTGAAATTTTTAATCTTGCCTTGGCACGCATTGTTATAATAAATATAGTCTATATATCACTCTTCTTCCGCGTAACTACATCCATGTATCTACAGGCTCAAAAATTAAACTATTTTTAATTGGTATGATGTGACGTAGAACATAATAGGATTCACAGATTAACTTATTTGTCTTTAAAATTAATAGTCACAAACCTAAACTATATACCTACATTACTTGCAGTTTAGTTTTTCAAATACTTAAAGAAATACTTAGTAATATCAACTTCATAGCAGACCTCAATCCACTTTTTCTGTGACTTCCCGCTGTTTTGACCCATGCACAATAACTGTATTTCCTCTTTTACAGAACGGTTTGACATCTTCGGAAGCTAAGTTCACGGAAAAAGCTCTTGAAGAGATCAAGGTATGTCTAATTTTGTTAATTTGATGGAAATATAGGTATCGTCTCACGAAACTAGTTAGTAACGCCATCTATCTTGGAAATGTGTGATTTGTTGTACGAAGTTGTTACCATTAGAATCACTAGATGGCGTTTATACCAAGGTTGTTTTATGGTTGTGATAGTGTGCCAAAGTCTACACAGAGGGCGCTTAAAAATATTCTTAAAGAACGATTAATAACTTAAATTTATTAATTAGTGCTTAATTTTAAACCCTACGTATCTTATCTTATCGATATGATAAGTCACATTTTCCAATTCTTTTTTTTTTGCTTCTAACACCTAAAATAGTGTTTCATAAACTCAAGATTCAAGAACCTACTTGGTCACAGCTAAATTCAGATTTCACAGAATGTCTTTATTGCGTAAATGAAATGGATTTTAAAATGTTATTATGAAAAATCTAATACGCAAGTTGGAATAGCTCGTTATAATGGCATTAGCATAAGCGTAGAACTGTTTATTTACCCAAGACTTTGCATAAAACCTCAAGGAATTGTAAAATCAACATTATTTTTTCATATTTCACAAGTTTTTTTCTTCTTCGAGTTTGTATTTTTTTACGTTTTCACCTCAATTCGGTGCTATTAAGCATTATTTGCGGAGCGAGTTGGGTGGTCTCGTCGAGGGCTCTTCACGCCCTGACGCACTGTCTCACCGACTGACGAGGAGCCACAGAATAGAAAAAGTACAGAAGGAACACTTAGGTGCAGGCTGTGAACATGGTGACTGGAAGCTGCTAAGTCTGTTTTTTTTTACTTTCATGTGTATAAACTTGCACGACAAAAAACGTTTAAAACCTAGGAATATCTTTCCCAATTTTTCTTTATCAGGTAAGCATAATTTAAGAATTCATTGGAATTTTATCAAAATAATTTAAGTCAAAAGATTTTTTATTTTATTAAATATTTTACATTTACATAGGTAATTTTACATTTGAAATCCCCAATATCGTTATTAATTAGTGCATACAAAATGAAATGTACTTTACTCTCTAACTTTTCATGTTTTGATTCGATTCTATTTTCTTAAGAGACGGTAAAATCGAATCATCTATCATCTATGAAAGCATCAACGTGGTTACAAAGATCTTCGCTTAGTTACCTACTATAAAATTATTTGGTTATAGTAAAATTATAATTCACCTTCCATAACTTTATTTAATGTGGCCTGGTAACGTTCAGTGTTAGCATAGACATTCGCGAAGACCATTGTTGTTGATGCGAAACGCCTACGACGCAAGCGCATAGTGACTTGGAGAATTATTTCGAACTAGGTCTTTTTTAAAATAAAACAATAGACTCTTGTATTATTACTTATTTATTTTATTTAGCATTATTTTTGTAGACAGCTTATGGTGTGTTTTTCTTAGCGTGACTGGCGAAGAGCTGGATTTTGAATTTTTCTATAAAGACGTGAAGGTTTTGGCTGACATCTTGTCGTTATTTAGAGTAAGTTGAACAGTGAACTTAGTGCAGCTTGGTATAAAAACGTAAATAATGCATCATTAGCCATTGCTAGTTTAGAAACAATGTTTTAGAAACATTTTATTAGAAAAATATGGACAATATTTTATAATTGAACAAGAGCAACCTATGGAATTTCTTGCTCGTTCTTCTCCATAGGAATCTACACCTTGAATATAGCTTCACTTTTCACTTTTTGTTGACTTTCAAAAGTGCCTTTCTGGTCTAATTGAAATAAATGATTTTGACTTTAACGACTTCGATTTTGTTTAAGTAGACAGACAATCTGATTTCTTAATTTTTATTAGTTCTGAATTTTTTCAAATTAGCGTGCTGTACAATATGACTTTATTTTATTAAAACTAATTCTTTTTTTATCATGTTACCAGAACATTTTAAAGATCCTTTGAACCAATATGGATACAAATGTTATTCCCTAGTCACTTTCAGTTACATTCAAACGTTCGACGCTCCATTCAAATTCGGAATAACTTCTAGATAACTTTGGAACGTGAAAAAGGGAACGTTCCATAGATACAACCGTTTGATTTTCATACCCGTATGCACACGCAGGGATTATAAAATCAGCACGAGTGTATAAAACGGAACGCATCGATTCAACTCTACGTGGCGACTTCGCACTTTCAACGGTTTGTCGCGGCTCTCACTTACACCGTACTGTAATATTTTATGCTATTACTTTTGGGGTTATAGTGGGAATGATTGGACATTGATTGATTTTTCTTAATATTATAATTCGAATGACTACAGCGTATAGCTTTGATTGAGAAATGCATGTCGAGTTGTTTCGCACAAGTCCAACGTCTCGTTGCTCATGTCATGCAGAAGCTGATAAGTCTAGCTATGGTTCTAATAAATTGTGGAGGTTATATCATAGTTTAAGTGGTTATATGTATAAAATATATTAGATACGAACTAATCTTTTAACCTCAATGCCGTCTACATGTCTGCATAACTTGTCAAAAAAGACCAGAAGCAAAATAATATCCACCACCTGGTTAAAATATTAATAAAAATAAATGGAAAGGTATTTCGCATACAAATTATCGGTCAATTATGAGTTTGATAGACGTCACGATTAGTCTGCAAATATTTTTTTGTGTATAGTGTATACCTAACCGGTTTGCTTTATCTATTCAACTTACTGTTTTTGAATTGTCACACATAAAACACTAGTCTGCGCATCTGGCGATTTCAAAACAACAAGTTTTTATTTTAATTTATACGCAAAAAGTTTACAAATTACTAAGTGCGATCTCTATTCGCTCGGAAAGGGTTCTGTATTATTTCTTACATAAAATAACTTTTCTTTTGCAAAATGGCGTTCGGTTGGTGGTTGGTTGATTTTCTAAAATAATAACCAATCAATTGTATTTGTTGGGAGTTATAACTTTAGTCTTTTAGGTCAACAGCTCTATGAAAGATAAGATTAATCCCGTGGCAAACTTTTGGTGGCATTCTTGACTGACAGCACATACTATAACTAGGATTTTAAGGAACCCTAAATATCATGTTAATTAGTTACTTAATTGAATTTGAATACATCATGTTCGTCTATTATTGATGAAATTGACCACATCATTGCCATACAGCAGTTAACTACAGCCATTTTTCACAAGCTTTTTATCGCAGTGTCTTGCTGCGGAGTTTTATTAGCGTACCCGTGTTAAATTGATTAGTTGGAGAACAATAATAATGCCTAGGTATGTGAGTTATTTATCCTTAAAACGTGATGTTTTTATAGACGAATACTTATCGAAATTAAGAAATGATGTATAAATGTTGATTTAGGATCTATTTTGGCTGCGGTTTTTGACGGAATGCAAGAAATATATTGATTGCATTCTTTAGACTGAGGATATATCGGTTTATTTTGAAAATTGGCTACTGGTTTTTTTATTTTCTTTTCATATTCTCTATGGTCTATTATGACATATTAACCGTTTTGAATTTTCTCTAGCAATCAACACGATACAATATATTTCCCAACAAACGTTACGCGACGGTGTAAAAGCAGCCCCTGTAACTTTGTATTTTGTAGTGTTTAGTGTCACCCCACATCATAGCATTTGAAATATGAACGGGTGGTGCGTGCGAGGGGTGTTTAGGGGAGGGGTATGGGGCAGGAGGGGGGTTGGTGAGCAAATATTGGCAGATGTAAGTGGATGGCGGTGCAGTGAGGCGCCGCCACCCTACGCGCGCCGCGCGCCGTCACGTGACAGGAGTGACGTCATACCGGCCAGTGATACGATTCTTTTTTTAAATATTCTTTTGAATTAATAATGTGGTCGTTTTATTTTTATTGTTGTTTGGAGTCTTTTAGTACGGTTGGCTTAAAATACTTAAAAATGGAAGACTGATGTAGCACATGCAGGATACTTTTAGTAAACCATTAACAAATTAAAGAATAAAAGTGTAAAAATGTACACAGTCACAACAACACAAACAAAATTTATTTTTGAAGCATTGATCTCATATCGCCTTTTCCTTCCGTTAAAAATAACAGCAACAAAGGGATACCGACCGACTTTTATAAGTACCTAGTACCTCTACATGCAAGTTTAACGCGTGGGTGTTGCTGTACGTTTGTCCGTATAATTAGCACTAGCACTCACCTCGTAATAAGTTAATTGAAGTGCAAAAACGTATGGCAACACCCGATTAACATGGTCAAGTTAATGCGTCACTACTGCCCGCTAAGTAACCACTGGGCTACAGGCTTTTACTGAAAAACCCGTGTATTTAACGTAGGTGTTGTTATTGTTAATTTTTTATGGAGTTTTTTTACCTAGTCGTCCTATTAGTCTCGCCCACTGTTTGTGGAGTGGAATTTGACTCGTTTACAGACGAAAGAAAGGTTGTATTTGCTTAGTGTTAATATGTAGACCTTAGTGTTTATAAGATGAGCCCCTCAGTGTCAGAAGATTTGGCTGAAGAAGAATTTTCTCCGATCATCATAATGAATCAATTCTCAAAGTCACCAAGTGATTCCATTCAACTGACTATAAAGTCCTGATAAGTGGGAGAGCCATGCTTCGGCACGAATGGGCCGGCTCGACCGAAGTAATATCACGGCCTCACAGAAAACCGACGTGAAGCAATGCTTGCGTTGTTTTTTTGTGTGAGTGAGGTTACCGGAGGCTCAATTACCTCTCTTCCCTAATCTCTGAATCCCAAGAATTCTCAAATTCCTAATTGTAACGCCTCTGGTGTTCCAACTGTCCATGGGCGACGTCGATTGCTTACCATCAGGTGATCCGTCTGCTCGTTTACCAGCTAATACCATAAAACATCTACAGGTCATAAAATCAGTGACAGACGTGTAAATAACATCAATAATACTTTTACACAGCCCCAAGGCATTTTTACTTCCATAAAAAATAATCTACTTATAAACGGAATTGATCCAATTTTTCTATGAACAAACCTGTCAATGTATCCGCGACAACAGTGTATCAGATATACACAGGAAACTGTCGGAACCAACAAAATTAACTGCCCGCCGGCTGTCTGTCTGTTTGTGTGCACATATAGACTTAGCCGTGTAATCTTACTTAACGCCTCCAGGCCTAAGTTGCAGGCTGACGCGGAATTAATAATGGTGAATGCGATATCTTTTGAAAATGTCTACTGGATGATATCTATTCACATTTAATAATGGCTTTATCTTAATTTTAATGCTGATTATATTACATAAATGTCTTGGGAATCATTTCATCGTCACCAAAATGTGGGTGTCACATTGTACAGTGGCATTAAGTGTTGTAATAAGTACCTCTGCCTATCATAGGCTTGAAGTTATGTTATGTATTTGTTATCATCAACTTTCAACTAAGAATTGTCATTCAGTCCTATAGTTAGGTGACCAGTTCATATTACTACTTTATGATCCTTGCTAGACTGAAAGGATCTCTCCTAAATAGTAAGGTTTACTAACCTTTAACCGAGATGGAGATCATCGTCTTAAAGGTTCAGAGAGTGCTGGTGCCTGTACTCTGTTAAATGGAAACTCCCTTAATCGGTTGTTACGACATTCACGTAAAGAAAGGGGCGGTGTCTCAGCCGTTACTACACAGAGGATTAAATCCTTAAATCCTTCTTCTTAAGCCACGTTTTTGTTCATGCAAAACTAGCCTCTTAACATCGGAAATAAGATTTATAATTGAGTAATTGGTGAGCGGTCACCGGTGACCGCTTAGAAACAGCAGTTAACAAAACCTTCTGAAATAAGAAAATCCTCCAGTTTAATTCAATTCAGTTTCGCCAAAACTTTCTTGGTTGACTTTCATATCTCCAGACTTTATTCGCTCAAGTACATACCTTGCACCACGTACAAATAGCTTCATCATGGCTGGCTATCGCAGGATAATATCTCATGTGGCCTGATCTAACGGACCATTGCCAGCGTCTGTCTCTGCTATACTGCTGGTGAATTGACTTGTAGACCTGAACTACTGACGTAGGTGGAGGATATATAGGTTGTAAGCGGAACGCACATGAAAAACGCCGACACGCGATGGTTAAAAAAATTGAATTTATATTTCATAACAGTAAGGAATTAAACGCAGGCAATGCATGGACCAGAGTAGCAAGCGATAGAGAGAGCGCCAGTTGGAGGAGGCTTTTGTCAATCAGTTACACACAGACTGGACGTCGATGCACATCAACAAATCCTTAAGTTTATCAAAAACATTACTGTTAAAAATGTTTGGTTTTGTCTGAATAAAAGGCTTATATTATTATTAAGGAATTAATTAATGTTTCATTATGTAACAATAGTTGTGATCAACCAACTGCTCAAGGCTGATGTTGCATGAATAACACGAAAACAAAAACTATTAAAATGAAAATAACAATTTCTTTTTGTCTGCGTTTCGGGAGCCTTCCCTTTACTCCCTGTATAGGAGGAGGAGACATGGTCTCCTTTGTTTCTTTAAGTCGATGTTCCTTTGAGAAGCACACGGGAGATGTTCGGTTGTACACAGGTAAAAAGTCTTAGTAGGTACTTTCAGTCAGTTCTGCTATCACCGATCGGGGTTTCTCTTCCCGTTGATTTCGTAAGAAGGGACTATTATTACTGCTATATACTGCTCAAAACAAAAAAAAACGCCCACCCGTTTTTAGGCTTTTATCAAAAAGCAACAGAAGTGTTTGGACTATGTATTATGGCGTTGTCTATACTTACTTTATTTATTTTAATAAACATCAGTTCTTGTGTTACTCTAAGACAAATACGTATATTTCAATAACGATGGCCCCTATTTTGTTTTGTGTAGGTAGTATAGTTAATTAGTCTTGGTCTCCATTTCTTGCCAGTTCGAATCTCGTGGCGTGGTTGTTTTAAAAACTTCATAAAAAGCGTTTTATGATGGGGTTTTATGTTATCTTCATGTCGGCCACTTATTACTGCCACTACACAGCTTGGGACGCTGGTTTCTGTGTAAGAGATACAGCCAATTTTGGCTTTAACAGCCTGCACGGAAACAGCGCGGGGTGAGAAAGTTGAGCCGTTAAAATGTTGCTTGTTGTCTATTCATATTAGTTATTTAACTCTTTGAGTACCGTCATCATAGACACAATTAAAGAACAATAGGTTGCGGTCACCGGTATCCTCGCGGTGTTTGACATTTTAAGATTATTTAGACTGCAAGTTAGAAAGAAATTCAAAATATCAATGAGGAAGTAAAGGGATGTTCTGGTATGAATTTTAGATTCAGTACGTATCTAAAAGATCTTAAGTAATAAGAAAATCTGTTATGTTTATTAATAAACTACAATTTGAAAGAATGAAAGAAAGAATAATTGTTTATTTGCACACCGTCACAAAGTACAAAAAATAAAAATTAAAACAGTGAAGACAGCGCAAAACTACAAAAATATTATATTTGATTAGATTATTGAAATTCCTGAAGGAATCTTCTTTAACCCGTCGTGTGTCTAAACGTGGATCCACGCGAGACACAATGTATTTTCTATTGTGTCACATATCGGTGCATTCAAGCGGTTAATGAAAGAATTAAAAAATAAAACTAAGTTATTTCATTTGGAAATAGAAATCAGAAAATGTTTTTCCCTTGCATCTATATTCACAAACTTTAGCTTAATATTCCCGTGACCTGAAAATTACCTCGAGCCAATAAAACTACTTTTAAATCCTCTGCGTCAAAAAGCAGCATTTTATCTTCGCCTCGAAGCCGCATGGTCAGCGCGTCGTGTCCCCGAATACATTATCCGTAGCCAAACGACCGGCGACTGCACTTGTACTTACACACTTAAAATATAACCCCCCCACACTCAGAACTTATACTCTTTAGTATGTAATTGTTGAAGATTTTAGTTTTTTAGTGCTGAAAAATTAATGTAAGGTAAAATTTTAAACACACGTCCGTGAGTCAGTATTTCGCAAGTGCGTTTGTCGAAGTTGAATCGGATGGTTTCTGTTGCGTTATTCAAGTTAGGTTCTAAATTTCCAGCAGTTGAGTTGTTGGTCTAGAATTGTTAACAATACTTAATGGTCTAGCCCTAACCCAAACAGTCTAGCTAAATTTAGACTGTCGTGCTCTGTTATTAATAACGCAACCTGTGATTTACCATTTTTTAAGGGGGGATAATCATCGAATGACTGCTCCCGCCTGGGTGAGGCGGGAGGGAGTGTCAGACTCTTACTGACTAAAAACCACCCCGTTCCTTCTCCTGCACGTCGAGCCGGAGCCCCGGTAACCCGTTAGGTTCTCCGCGACGTGATTTACCATTGGGAAAAGGCTATTTTAACAAAATACCTTGTGAAAAATTGGATGTGCTGATGCATCCCTACAAATCTTTAGCAATAACAGACATATTTCCAAAATACATTATAGCAACGTTAACTGCACATGTCCAAATATTCAGCAAACTTAATCATCTTCTAAATCTTATAATAAACACATCAGACTATAAGTAATTGGATTATATCAATATGTACATTATCTTGTTACAGAGTTCTCTGCGTGCTTCGGAGGCGGACAAGCGTCGTATGATGGATCGCATAGTCAAACTGGAAGATGAATTGCGAGTCTTAAGAGTCACAAACGGGTTAGTAAACTTGTTTATGTAATATCTGAGTGCTGAGTGCGAGGTATTTTTGCTTTATAGCGATCGCAAAGTTACCTCAGGGGGCTTACTTTTGAATCCAATTCCGATAGATCGACATTGGTATTGTTAAATTTCGTACTCTTCAGTAGCAACACTAGCGCCCATTGCATCCGTATTGCGTGGATATTAAATGAACTAAATGATTTTGAGTTTGGCTTTATATTCCGTACTCTGAATGATATTTCAACAGCTACAGTAGGGGTTGTATAGTTTTGACATTGAATCATTATTGAGATTTTGTTGGATTGAAATTGCATTGACATTGAGATTGGTTTCAAGTGTAAGCACCCTGATTGGTTGATATTTTTAATGGGATAAGCCTGCCACAACCTCTCAAAACGGCTGCAATTTCTGTAAGCCAGGATACAGTAAATACAACCATGAAAACACCGGGATAATAATCTCCGGCGCGGCATAGGAACCCGTAACGAAGTAAATCAGTAGGCAGATATTCTTAGAAAAGAAAAAACGGTAGTTGATTGACTTAAGCCTATACGCACAAAAGTGAGATCTGATTGGTTGGTTGACTTAGAGCAGCCAATCACAGCATCAAACGTCATAAACGTGTCGATCGCGTTTACGTCAAATAAACTCGCACTGGGCACTCTGATTATGTAACTAGGTACAAGGACCGAAAAGAAACAAGGAGTCTGAAAATCAGAGGTTATTTTGAAGATATGAAGTTGTGAAGAACGAATTAAGGTTTTGCGTTGAATAGATCTCGTCTCGATGTTATGGACTAAGATGCTGATTACAAGAAAATTAATTATACATCTACCTGTCATCAATACTTGCAATATAATATTGTATTATCTTTACAAAAAAAATAATATAAGTATTTGATTTATCATAGAATACATCACACTCTACTCGTATCTTAGTCCATACCATTTACTGTTTGAATCTTAAAATGTGCACGATCGAGAAAACGTCTATAATTGTCAATTATTTTACAAAATATAATATATTTTTGAAGCATGTTGTTTTATTATACGATAAGTTCATTAACTTAATGTTACCTACAGTTTCGAGTCGAACGAAAACAAAATATCGAACGGTAACGTCGAAGACGCCGACGCTGAGCGGATGCGCTTGCGCAAAGAACTTGCGGACATGCGCAAAGCTAAGCAAAACGCTGAGGATCATTCGCTTAAGTAAGTTGATGAGATTTTCACGTAGGTAGAAGTACAAGGGAAATATTTATTTATTTTTGATAGATATCTTATTATGTACAGATTAAGCATGGGTATGTGGATACAATAGTAAAATTATTCAGTTTATTTTTTTGCTAAAAATAATTTTGTAATAATATCTATTGCGTACATGCAGCTTCATGTTTCACTAATTAAAGTTTATTTATTTTGGTGGCGGTTATAAACTACTGCATGCGAGCTTAGGTTTTTCGTTAGGTATAAAGCACATAGAAGTAGAAAATAAAATAGCTTTGCACCTTCAGGTACCTAGTCTAAACTGAAATCGTGTTGCAGACTTGAACGTCTTGTAACACAGCTACGTTCAAAATTCAACGGGCTCCAACTCACGAATGGCCCCGAATCGTTGCCGAGCGATGCCGAACACGACACGAACGTGCGCGCTCGCCGAACGAGTGTCAACTCGGCGAACAATTCCACTGTTGTCTTTGGCCCTGTTACCGATTTGTAGCGAATGGAGATCGCAAATGCGACCGTTTGTATCGTCGCTGATCTATTCTGGTCTATAATGTATAAGTTTACCTGAATGGACTTTAGTAGTTCTAGATTACGCCTCTGTTTAAAATTTAATCTGTGGTGAAGTGTTTCAGTTGGCGTAAGTGTGTTCTGCACTTTTTTTTAGACATTGTGTGTTGAATTTGAATCTCAATTACTGGAATTGATTATTTAAGGCCCGTGTTAACCCTTCTTTAGTTTTTGATAAAATCCAACTTTATTTCGTGCTTGTTTTGTGATTATTTTTTTAGTTTTACGATGGTTAATCATATCGAAATTTAGTTAAAGACACGAATACAAGACAGTAATAAATGCAAGCTTATTTTAATAATGAAAATCAGTACTAATGTTTTAAGGTACAGTTAACAAAAAAATGCTTACACATACAGAAACTAAAAGCAATGTTTCATATTTTATGCCTTACCTATAACAAGCGTACTACTAAGAAATGAGAGCTTAAATATTTAGCCTGGATACCCCATACATTCGTCGACTGTACAACACACGAATATACCTAACTAGTAACTACCCTTATTGGTAAAATTTCCTAATTAATTTTCCACCAATTGCATTAAAGTCGAAAGTCGTCTGACAGTTTGGGGTAGTTTCGTGTGCTTTTACAATTCCTCTTACTATTATATTAATATTGGTGCTCAATTTGCTACATCACATGTTTATAATATTTCATTGCAAAATATACTCTATGTCTATTATTGTAATTGATAGTGTTGTGTGCTCACCCATTGTTACTTGTTACCTTTGTGCATTGGTCTCGTAAATAAAAATATATTTCATTTTAATTGTACTTAACATTTTAAATTCAAATTAAATTACACTAAGTTCGATTTGACTACGCAAATTGACCAGGTTGAAAGTACAGTCACGATAAAAAATGTTTTAATTTAATAAAATTAAATATTTTTTTTAATTTTATTAATATTATGTTTTAGCTGTCCCTGCAAAAACGTATAAACGTACGCGATAACAGTCTCGTCACTTTGGTATAATCGGTATGTCATTTTGACAATTTGCCAAACAGATTACCGAACATTATTGTCGCGATTATTTAATGACTACAAACACAATAACATTATTACATTACCGTTTGCCTAGCAATCAGCTCTTATTTACAAACTTGATGCACGGCTGTTGATGTTTGCAATTTTCGACCAATTGCCTTTTCACACCTTTACATTAAAGCGTTTTAATATTTGCTATAAGTCAGCACCGTTTGTGTGCCAATGATTTTCACGGGTTTTCGTGTGTAGAGATGAAAATGCTTATTAAAACTGTTATCAACCAAAATTTTTACTTTCAATGACGTGTAATTAACAAGCGTATAAGAAAAGAAGACGTACATATCTATCTAAATTACTTCTTCTCGGGGTCAGATAGCCTCGAGGGATGCAAAGTTTCCACCAAGTTTACTCCAAACTGGTCTATTTGGTGTTCACTAAGATGTACTTACACATCTGAGGTCTTAGTACGAGTTTAATTTACGTTTAAAGTATTCGTAATGAGTACACGTTCGGCGCTCTGATTGGTTGGTTCATTGGTGCTGGCCAAAACGTAAAAACCTTTTAAACGAAAATCAAACTCGTTCTAAGGCCTCTAAGTGAACACCAACTCTTAGGGGTGGTTACGAACTAATTCACAACAATTGAACAAATAATAATAAAATGTTTTCAAGTAAAAGCATAAATTTTCAAATTAATTTAGAAATAAATACGTATAAACTTCGCTGAAGCAATTAAAAGTTCGTTTGGATATCCTTATTGCGTTCATTATTGTTGTTTGTATGTTAATTAATTGATCGATTACGGCATTCTGGGAATATTTCGCGTCTATATCAATTAGTGAAGTTTGTTCTGTATGTTTAACTAAACAAACTACGATTTTCGTTCGTATACAAGACGATTCCGGCGATTATTATTTTAATTAATTGTTCTAAAGCTGAAAATTAATTGAACAATTTATTACAATAGTTTCGAACGACGTTTTGCTCAAACAAATGTTTGTTTTCCTTGATGATTGAGCGAAATTTTAGTTTAAAATTACACAGATATAAATAAGTCGTTTAGTAGATATATTTTTTGTTAAAAAAGCGATAGCTTGCTCGAAAAATTCCGTCTTAAAAATTAAAATAACTGGCTCATGTGATTGTGATGTTTTGTGTTATTATTATTATTATTTAAATAACGAATTTAATAATATAGTTAAGTGTTTTGTGTGTGATTGTACTTTTTGCTCTCTATTCTAACATTTTGTTTGTGTTGTCTAGTTATGTTATCTAACACGAGTGATTTATTAACCGATTTGTAATTGTCCGCCATTTTTATGTATATTTTAGTAGATATCTATTATCTGTACTTATTATTATGATTATAATATAAAAAATATAATAATTATTATTTAATATTATGTGCAGTCATAAACTTGAAATTAGATTAATTTATATATTTTACTTAACCCATTTTGTTTATCCGATTTGGCATATAAATTAGCTTTAGTTCATGTTATGTTTTCTTGGATAGTAATAAAATATTTATTACTAAAAGTTTCGACCGAATACTCAAAGACTCAATCGTCAATCTATTTTGAAATGTCAAAAAATATTTCTGTCTGTCTGTAACTGACAGATGTTTTGTTACAATTTCATATTGAGTATCGTTTGGTGAATTATTACAATTATGACTAATATACATCACATATTATTTTTATTATTGGATATGCATTAGTAGTGTATACAAAGAAAATGACATGTTATTATACAGGGTGGAACTTTGTAATGCCACCTGAATTAAATACAGGGTGCAACATTTACAGATTTTAGTCGGTTCGATGACCGTGTGCGGCCAGCGAATTTTTAAAAATATTCGTATGCCGTTTTCTTTCTTTTCAAAAATAAAGGAATGTTTTCTTTGAGTAAAATTTTCTATCTAAAGTATTAAGACTACTTCTTCTTCAGGTAGCAATACAAAATTCCATCCTGTATAGGAGTTCGAAATTGTGTATGGTGTATGGAAAAGACTCATCTTCATTTGCGTTGAAACTAATACAGACGAACGATATTGACTTTTCGGAAATTCTGTGTTATAGACCATTGTGTGAATTTTTTTCAGTCAGTAATATAAAAATCATAAGACGCCATTTTACTACACTAATTGTTTTGTTGCCAGTTAAAAATATTGTTCTATAATAATTTTTATTCACATGACACTGTTTCTTATTATTCTGGTCGTGTATGTATCTTTTTATTATTAATTAATTATTATATTATAATATGTTTTCAGATAGTTATCCCCCATTAACGTTTTAACTTGTTCGAGCCCATTAACCACCGACTTCATCGCATTAGACTGATTTTAACTAATTTATTTAACTACAAATAAGTCGCATACCAAATTGGAGATAAGTAGAATCGGTTATTGTAATTGTTACTTTATTTAAACTTAAGCTTTTATAGTTGCGGTTCTTTTTGCATCTAAAATAATATTAAAATGGGAAATCGGTATTTATCAACTATAAAATGTAGCCTTATAAAATGCCGTTGTAATCAATATTAAATACTTAGAGTTTAATAATAGAATTTATGAGAAATTGTTCAGTGCCGCTTACCTCTCTGGAGAATAATAGGCAAAAAGTTGATGTACGTAAGACAAGACAGGCTGTAATCATGTTTATTACAAAAATAATAATATTTCAGACCCAAAAAGAACAAAATCAAAACCAATACATATATTTACGAACAATAAATAGTATAGCAATTATTATTATTCATGTAATTACTACTTACGGTCGAATTCTCAAACGCAACTCCAGTTTACATGTCACTGTCAATTTCATTTAGCTGTCAAAGTGACAGGTAATTCTGTTGTTTGAGTATTTGGACGTAAAATTGGGATATTTAGTATTTATAGTATGAATAAAATATTGTAATAAATTATCACTGTAACTCTGAATCCGATAGGGAATGCTTTTGTATATTTAATGCTCACAATATAATTATTATTAATAATAAAATCAAATAATTACTCATTATCATATAAGAGTTTATTATTCAATGGCTCGTTTTGGAGTTGTTTTTTTTATTAAGTTTCATTTTACAGGAATCGTGGTTTATTTTTAGATAGTATATTTTTTGAGTTAATGTAAACATTATTTTTTAAAGTATTAAATATTGTCTTAGCGGTTGAAATTCCACATATGACTGTTTACTTCTTTCAATGTAGCACTCAGCATAAATAAAATCAACCTTATTGTTAATAATAATAAGATACATAATTTCAAAACGAGCCATGTTAATAAGAGCGATGGTGCCTTAACTATGTAACGTTGTCCGCCCATGTATTGTTGTAGAACTGTTGTACTGTGCCATCACTGTGCACTGCTTCTTGTATCTTATTATATGCTGTAATAAAGGTAGTTTTCCCTTGGCAAAGAGAGGTTAGACAAAATAGTGATTTTTTTAACTGAACATTTAAAAAACATGTATGTCAGGAATTTCAGATTTTCTAACTTCGTCTTGCCGTTGGAAAATCAACCTTATAATTGTGAATATTGTAGACTATTTTCATTAGATACGAAATTTGCAGATCAATATAACTGCTAAAATCTGTAAATTGTAAAAATATGTGCTATTTAGATGTTTGTGGAATGAGAATTGTAACATCTCATTACATAGGTGCATGTTAAATTAATTAAATTTAATATTTCATATATAAATAAAAGCTGAACCAAAATTTCTGCAATATATTTCGCGTATTTTTAACTTATGACGATACATTGCTGTGTATAAAATGATAATGTTTTACAATAGTTGACATGTTAAGCCATTTGATTGACTAAGGAATAAATTGTTAACTAGATTTTTTGCTTAAACAAATCGTTTTCTTCATACGATTATCAATATCAGTCAATTAATTTTTAATTGTATAACTGAACTACTAACAATTTTTTTAATTTATTTATACAATAGGGACACAAACAGAAACTCAGTGCAATACACAACAGAGTAACGATTTACAACACTAAATGCAGGCCATGCTTCTACAAGTAAGTGCACATGACATGACTTGCAACGACTAGTTAACAAAAACAGCTATTTATAATGAACTAGATTCTGCCCGCGACTTCGTACGCGCAATCCCGTTTTCTCCCGTACCCTCGATTTAAAGGAATTTTTCTACCTTAAAAACCTTCTCCTAATAATAACAAATACTTACAACAGAAAAATAATGAGTGAAATCGGTTCAGCCATTCACGTGTGATGCGATGACCAAGCGAAAAAGGAATTAATTTTTATATACAGATATGGATTATAATTCAGAACGAAATTAGAGGTAATCTACACGTAGTCAGGTCATTCTAATAAGCCGAATAACTATTTTAATTGTTGTAAAGTCAGCTGTACTGAAGGTCCACTACTGGATTTATGGGCGTTGACACAAGAGACTTCGCCAAAATTACACAATTGGGTACTTTCCTTAATCAATAATAAATTATTCGACTCTTCAATACTTTTAAACGTCAACAAATACAAAATAAATAATAGTCTGTCGAGTCTATCCGCCAGTGAAGCTATCGTCGTTGCTGTACAATTGTTTGGACAATTTATTCCTCAGTCGATCTATGGCTTAATTCAATCAGATTGTACCTAAATACTACTGCCAATGTGATAAATAATATCTATAAATATAATACTCGTTGTGTGCTATTCAAACTCATTATATTAGTATTGTTTCATTAGGCCTATGTTCATTACAGTTACTGAATATAATAATTATTACGATGGGGGTTAAAATATTATAATAAACGATATAATACATTATGTTTTGGTATTTTTATTTGTTTATATGGTTTTGGGATGAGTCTATGGTAATGGTAAGATAAAATGGGTGCAGAAACAGGTAAAATTTTATTTATTATTATATTTATATTTTTTATTAGTATTGAGGTCTTTAGGTACTGTGGGCAGCTGGCAGATCAACCTACTCTTTTCTGTCACATTTCTATATTCGATTTTCAACTCTTTTGTTTAGGTATAAAGTTGAAAATCGAATGACAAAAATTGGCACCTTGGCCACATTCCTGGCCACTGTAATAAGAATACAATCATGCTTAGTAATCCCGGATGGGGGAGGGAACTATATACTCCTAGGCCTCCTAGGCTATATACTAGTAGGAACTAGAATTGTCAATTTTTAGATAGTTAATCAAATACTACCTCGTTGGCTGAGTGGCTTCAAGTGCGATTGCAATTTAGGAAGGTGAAATAGATCAAGAGAAAGATTACCACAAATGAATCTCATTTTACCAACTTCTTTTCACAAAATCTCATAAATCATTCGACAAATAATGAGCAGTTCATTTACGTTTAACCCCAACCTTCCGGAACTAATTTATTCGAGAGTGAACCAACAAACGTATTGTTTCTATTATTTTTGATCGTTTCCAATAAAAACATGGTGAGCAGGGGTGGTCACGCGCAGGTCGTGTGGCGGCCGCGTGCCAACGCCATCTTGTGCGATGGGTGGGAACTTCCGACAGCCGCGTCATCAAATGCTTTTGTGGGAAAAGTTTAGAGGTGCGACGGCGATGCTCGTTACAAACACGTAATTATATAGTTCAAATGAACACTTGAGTGTATGTTATGTATCTGTAATTGTAATCTAATTGGTGTATTATTGTTAGGTGACAAGTTGTGGGAAAGCGTTTTCGTTGAAGTTACATTTAGTTTATTAGAAACATGTCGGTAGTATGCAGATTGCTTGCAACTGGTCGAACTGAATGTCGCTCCTGGAGGACTGTGCTCTGCAGTAGACGTCTTGAGGCTGATCTCGTATGAAGGTGTTTTTTTATTGGGTAAGCCGGTAAACGAGTGGACGGATCACCTGATGCCATGCAATTGGAGTCTCCCACGGACATCTGAAACACCAGAGGTACAAGTGTGTTACCGGCCTTTTGGGAGATTAGGAATTTAAGGATTGCTGAGATTCAGAGATTGGGGAGATTAGGGAAGGGGTGGGAGCGTAATTGGGCCTCCCCGTAACCTCACTCGACGAAGATGTAAATGATATTTAGGCTAGAAGGTGGCTGGATATTGAAGGGGTCGTATAGAATTTGCTGCCTAAAATGAAATTAAGGATTCACTGACCAGAAATGTCTAAAGCCATATTAGGCTTTACCATTATCATAAGATAAGATTATTAATTCATCATTAATTTATAAGAAAATATGTAGAGGTACACAACAATGTATCGTCTCACAATCCTGTGATAAGGATGTGTCGCAAGTACAACGAGCTACTCTCGAGTGACATGGGCGTGCCTGATATCCACAATACCTCGCTTCACAAATTTAAAAAAATTGTT